CCGGGCTGTTCAGGAAGCTTTTTGTCTCCCTCTGGTTTCTCAGGTGAACTGTAGACACTGGAGGGGGCCCTCCCTGGACGGTGATAGTCTCTCCAAACCGTGGTGTTGTCTTTTTTTCTTTTCTTTTTTTATTGATTTCAGAGGGGGGGGGGGAGAAACATAATACATGATAGAAAATCATTGATCTGTTGGCTTCTGCACATCCCCACAGGGTAATAAGCCCACAACCCAGGCATGTAGCCTGACCAGGAATTGAACTGGGAACCTCTTGGTCCTGGCTCAAGCTCAACGACTGAGCCATACCAGCCGGGCCTTGATGTGGTCTTGTTAGCCACAACCTGACCCCTGGTGACAGAGAAAGCTGGCTTGTGTTCTGTCTCAGCCCTTTCTATCTCTGTGACCTTGGGCAAGTGTACTGACCTTACTCTAGCCTCAGTTTTCTGCTCTGTAAAATGGGGCTAGCTCTCATGCCAATCTTACTGTGTAGCATGAGGATTCATGAGCTGAAGCAAGTGGCACAGTGCCTGCCAGAGGGAGTGCTGCATTGGTGGCTCACAGTTACCTTCCAGACAGTCAGGGCGGGCTTGGGGGTCTAGAGAGTGGGGGTTCTGGAAACCAATGGCCTAACTTGCAGTGCCACCACAATGCCACTTAACCGTCGGTGCCACTCGAGCCAGGCCTGTCCTCTCTGCAAAATGAAGGGGCACAAGATTTGCCCTTTAAGATGCCTCCTGATGGTCGGGGAAGTGGTTCTCAAACTGGAGAACTTATTGAAACACAGACTGCTGGGCCCCGCCCCCAGAGTTTGATTCAGTAGGTCTGGCGGGGGGAAAGGGGGGAGTCCAAGACTTTGCATTTCTTTTTTTTAATATATTTTATTGATTTTTTACAGAGAGGAAGGGAGAGAGAGAGAGAGAGCTAGAAACGTCAATGAGAGAAAAACATCAACCAGCTGCCTCTTGCACATCCTCCACCGGGGATGTGCCTGCAACCAATGTACATGCCCCTGACCGGAATCGAACCTGGGACCCCTCAATCCTCAGGCCGACGCTCTATCCACTGAGCCAAACTGGTTTCAGCAAGACTTTGCATTTCTAATGAGTTCCTTAGTTTGCTGCTGGTGCTGGTGCAAGGACCACAGCTGAGAGAGCCCGGGTTCGGATGATTGGGGAATCAGGACTCTCCGCTGAGCCCAGCATCCGTCCAACCTCAGAGGCAGGGCCAGGGAGTGGGAGTCAGAGGCGAAGAGGAGCCAACCTCCTGGGGCCACGGGAATGTTCCCTTCCAGCTGCACCTGGGACCGAGGTCTCTCGTCACCTGGAGAAAAAGCCAGACCCTCCGGGCGCGGATCCCTTCTCCCGGGCCTGGGGGCCTGGCGTGGGAGTTGCATCAGGTCCCTGGAGGAGGCTCCTGGGTGGAAAGAACTGGTAACAAGGCCCTTGGGCGAATGGAAAGGCGGGAGTGGGAGCTGGAGCTCAGGCTGTGAGCTGCACAGGGGCTGGGCTCAGCTGCCGGTGCAGCTCCCCCTTTACTTCTCATTCATTGTTGAAATTTAAAAAAAGCAGAGTGAGGCCCAGCTGGTGTGGCTCAGTGGCTGAGCACCGACCTATGAACCAGGAGGTCAGGGCACATGCCCAGGCTGCGGACTCGGTCCCCAGTTGGGGGCGTGCAGGAGGCAGCTGATCAGTGATTCTCTCTCATCCTTGTTGTTTCTCTCTCTCTCTCTCTCTCTCTCTCTCTCTCTCTCTCTCTCTCTCTCTCTCTCTCTCTTCCTCTTTGAAAGCAATGGAAAATATTTATTTTTATTTATTTTAAGAATGAACAGAATGAGAAAAAGAAAATTGCCAGTGTTAGCATTTTGAGATAGTGGCTTTTGGTTTTAAACATGTCGACCTCTTTTATTTCTCCTCCTGCATGCCCCCTGCTGCGGATGGAGCCAGAAACCCCCAGCATGTCCCCTGATTGGGAATCGAACCAGCCACCTCCTGGTGCGTGGGTCAGTGCTCAACCACGGAACAACACTGGCCAGGCTGTTGCATTATACATCATTAAACTGAACATCTGCACGGTGCTTGGGCTGAATTGTGTCCCCCACAGTTAAATGTCGAAGTCCTAACTCCCAGAACCTCAGCACGTGACCTTCTTTGGAAACAGGGTCATTGTACATGAACGTGGATAAGATGAGGTCACATTGGGATATCGTGGGTCCCTAATCCAGTATAACTGCTGTCCTGGTAAAAAGGAGGAATTTGGCCCTGGCCGGGTAGCTCAGTTGGTTAGAGCAGTGGTTGGCAAACTCATTCGTCAACAGAGCCAAATATCAACAGTACAGTGATTGGAACTTCTTTTGAGAGCCGAAAACCGACTTCTGCACACGGGCCTCGAAGTTTCAATGACACTGTATGTGCGCGCCCACATGTGGTTTTTTGTGGAAGAGCCACACTCAAGGGGCCAAAGAGCCCCATGTGACTCGTGTGCCGAAGTTTGCTGACCACTGGGTTAGAGCATTGTGCAGCTGCACTAAGATTGTGGGTGCCATCTCTGGTCAGGGCACATACAAGAATCAACTAATGATTGTATAAGTGGAACAATAAATTGATGTTTCTCTCTCTCACACAAAATCAATAAATAAAAAAGGAAAGGGAGATTTGCACTCAGACATGCACACAGGGACAACACGAGGTGTACACTGAAAGTTCTGCCAACTGGAAGCTGCGAGGAGCCAGGAGAGAGGCCGGGACAGGTCCCTCCCCAGCGCCTGCAGAGGGAGCCTCGGCCTGCTGGCACCTTGACCTCAGACTTTTAGCTTCCAGACCTGGCAGACAGCGCCTTTCTGTTGTTTAGTCACTCAGTTTGGGGAACGGTCCTTCGTTGTGGCAGCCGCAGCAAACTACAACACATGACATAACCTCTTACTATATGGTTTACAGTAAAAAACATTTTTAATTACCAAAATGTAATATATAACATAAGAAATACACATGTATCTTCCACCCAAATTTGCAGTCTTTTTCTCCATGAATTGATATTCGTCCCCCTCCCCCCAAGCTCCTACACAGGCTTACTAAACGCCCCATTCTGCAGTCTGTTTTCCAACCAATATGTCATGATTATTGCCTGGCCGGCATGGCTCAGTGGTTTAGCATCGACCCATGAATCAGGAGGTAATAGTTCAATTCCCTGTCAGGCACCTGCCTGGGTTGTGGGCTCAATTCCCAGTAGGGGGTGTGCAATTGCATCATCATTGATGTTTCCATCTCTCTCCCTCACCCTTCCTCTCTCTGAAAGCAATAAAAATGTATTAAATAAAAGAAAGAAAGGAGCCATTGCTGACCAGGCTTAGAGTGGGTTGCATTCAGAACACACGGTCTAGCAATCCAGAGAAATAGCAGAGTAACTCAAGTGCTTACAATTCCCAAACTCCACCAAGGGGCGGGTACCCAGACGACACCTGTACTTCTAAAATTCCTCTTTCCCTTCTCACCCCATTGTTTACACACGCCAGGTGTCCCTGTGCCCTCTCTTCGGCACCCCTAGTCCCACACCTCCTTGTTCCTGGTCTTTCCCTTCTCCTCCTCCTTCCTTCCCAGCTCTAAGCCCCAAAGAAATGCACTGGCGTGGAAGGAGCCTTTTCTCAGGTGGTGGGGAGGGAAAAACCACAGAGGCAAAGCCCTTCAGTGGGTGGGCAGGGAAAAGCTTCAATCGTGTTATCTGGTCCCGTTATGGCGGTCAGCTGTGGGCCCCTCGCAGACTGGCGGGATGTGTCGGCCTAGTGCCCTTCGCATCTAGGGGTTTAGCACATAGTAGGGACTTATTGCTTCAATGAAGGTGGGAGCGTTGACAACCAAGTCTATCTTGGGGCTAGCAAGAGACATTTTATAGAGGTGTTTGACCTAGGCCTGGAAGCAGGGGGTTTATCTTGGGCAGCAAGGACTTCTCTTCCTCTGAAGAGTGAGTGCGGAAGAGAAAGATGGGGGAGGGAGGGAGAAGGGGGAGGGTACCCACTGGATGGCTTTCTTTTTCTCTATGAAGGAGAAGAGTCGGAGTATGGGATAGGGAAGAGGCAAAGGTTTGGAAGAGCCACCGTGGGGAAGGGAAGGGGGAAGGTTTGGGGACAAACAGAACAATTGCCGGACAGTGGCTTGTGGGCTTGGTGTTCGCAGAGCCTCCGATGGTTGGGTTACAGGGACTGGGGACCCACCGTTTATCCACCAGGGAGAAAACGAACCGGTCAAAGGGACTGGGATGCTCCCTCACGCTGAAAGATGACTGTGAGAGCAAGGCAGAAAAGCAGGTCTGTCTGGAGAGGATGGAGTGGGAATTTAAATTGTGGGGCAGATAAGTTGTGTGGCCCTGAAGGGGCCCGGCTGAGGTGCGGGGGAGGCCTCGGAGGTGAGCGCCGCCGTCAGGGAACCGGCAGCCAGGTGGGCCCTGCGGCTGGTGAAGTCTCTCAGAACCCAGGGCGGAACCCGAGCCACGTGACAGCCCCTCACGATTGGCTGACAGTGGAACATAGTTGAGAAGATGGCGGCTCAGCGAAAACAGCATCACAGAAGGTCTGTACACTCAGTGGCATTCCGTGTACAGGACTCCGTGAGGGGCAAGGGGGGCTCGGGCCCTCCCTCACGTCTGGACAAAGACAGGGGCCTGTGGGAAGGGGGGAGGGTGGTGTACCGACCGCAGAGGAGGAGAGTCAGGGCGGGATCCCAGGAGCAGGGCGCCGCTCAGGCCACCAACTTGTTCTGTGCCGTTTCCTAAAAACGTATCAAATGGAGCGGTTAGGGTTCTGTCGCCCCTCCGAGTTCTGGGACCCGAGGAGGCCCGCGGGCAGGGCCAGAAAGGCGGAGGGGGCCGCAGGGCCGGAACCCTGGGGCCACAGGGCCGGGCGGGCGGGCCCGCCGGCGGCGTCGCGCGTCTCCATGGCGACGGGCGGCGTGGCCGGAAGTAGGCGGCGCTTACGGCGGGCGGGGCGTCTCTGTGACGCCAGGGTCCGGGCCTAAATGGCGATCCCCGAGAGGCTCACCGGGGGGTTTGAACTGGCCAATGGGCGAGCTCCCGACCGGGTGTCGGAAAAGGAGGCGGAAGCGGGGAGGAGTCGCCGTTGCAGCAGGACTACATCCGCCGCGGCGTCTCCATGGCACGACCCTGGCCTCCGAGTTCAACGACTTCATAAGGAGGCGTTTCTGGGCGCAGCCGTGTCGCTCCTGGTGAGAGGCCGCCGGCGGGCGGGACCCGGGGCGCTCCGGGGCGTCCCGCCGCCGCCGCCAGGGCCGGGCCCCGTGGCCCCGAAGGTCCCGGCCGGGGTCGCCGTGTCCCGCCGCCCCCGCCGCCCCCGCCGCCCCCGCCGCCCCCGCCGCCCGCCGGCCCTGCTCCCGTCAGAACCCGCCCCGCCCACCGGCGCGGGCCTTCTCCTCCCGGTAACTGGCCGGCCGGCCGCCCCCTCCTCACCTGCGACCGGCGGGGCTCGGCTCGCTCCTCTGCTGCCCTCCGGCAGGGCGTCGCCTTCTCTCCTCTATGGGCAGAAACAGGTCCCCTGGTGCCCGCTGGTGGGTGGTCGCCCCTCGGCTGCCGGAGACCGGCCCCCCGCCCTCTCGCCTGCCCGCGGGCGTCGCCGGGCTCGCCCTTCCCTCTCGGGGGGCCTCCTCGCACGGCAGTTATTGCCCGATCTCCGGGCGCAGCGCCGGTCCCCCGCCCCCGGGTCCACCCGCTCGAGGTCCCGCTCCGCCTCCCCGCACGGCCGGGCGTCGAGCCCGCTCTCGCTCGGACCCCGGATCCCTGCGGCCGCCGCTGCGACCGAGCGCCCCTCCCCTCCCCCTCGGCGGTCCCCACTCGCGGCCGGGCGCCCCCCGTCCCCCGTCGCTCCGTTCTCCCCTCCTTCAAATGCGATTGGTCCTCCCGGGAGCTGTTGACCGGGAACGCCCCTTCTCCTAGGAGACTGTTGCCCCGGCCCCGCCACGAATATCCCCACACACCCCCAGCTCCCGGCGCTGGTTGCGGCCCTTTTGGGCCCACTTGGGGCCTCGTGGTTCTCTCCCACCTGCACCCCAGGTTTTCTTCCCGGTGGCCCCCCAGGGTCCGTCCTGGGTGGGGCCCGGGCGTGGTGGTCCTTCCCCCGAGGCCTCGCCTCCCGACCCCCCTCGGGGAGGGGAGCTCCGTCCCCGCGCTCCCCGGCGCCCACCGCAGCCCTTTAGGTCGCTCAGCCTCTCCTCTCTCCCCCCACTTTGGCAGGACAGTTGCTGTGCGACTTGGACAGTAGAGAGGAGCGCCTCCCAAGTTTTCATCCAACTGCCACCCCCAAAGCTTCCACCCTCCTCCCCTCAGAGAGGACGTTTGATGCCCGGCCCCTGAGATTCTCATTGACAAGCCCCTCTGAGTCCCCTTGAGCAGAGCCTGCTGACCCAATTGCCCACCTTTGCGGCTTTGATGCCTGGTCATGTCTGCCTCATCCTCAGGCGGCTCCCCCAGGTACTGCCAACGCGGGGGTGCCTCCGCCCGAGGGCAGGGAAGGTGGTCAGGGGTCCCCCCCCCTCCCTCCCCTCCCCCAGGCCAGGCTTGAAGGAGGCTTCTCTTTTCAGCTTCTCTGTTCGGTGTGTTGAAAGTATGGACCAAAATATTTGGAAATCATTTTTTAAAGGGAAGGAGGAAGAGAAAAAGAAAATGCATGCACCCATTCTCAGCTCTGCCCGGACCCCCCCCCCTCCTCCCCCCAGGTGTCCAGTTCCTGGTAGCAAAATAGGGCCACTGTTGTTGTCTCAGTGGAGCACAGGCTCATCCTTTCTGAAAGAAGATAGGGGTCAGGACATGACAGTGGTGCAGGAGGTGGATGTGGCAGTTGGCAAGGAGTCCAAGTGGTTTGGTGGGGAGTCAGCTCAGGGGACGAAGTGACCCAAATCTACCGGCTTCACGGGAATAGAAATGTTCTAAGTGGGGAAGGGAAAAAAACCTGTCTATTCGATTTTGGTATTTCTTGGTTAAATGATTAGTAGGGTTCAATAGTGTTTTGTTTTTTTTTAATTAAGGTATAATATAATACAGCAAAATGCATGTTAAAAGGCTCAAGATTTTTTTAAAAATATATTTTATTGATTTTTCACAGAGAGGAGAGAGGGAATAGAGAGCTAGAAACGTCAATGAGAGAGAAACATCAACTAGTTGCCTCCTGCACACCCCCCACCGGGGACGTGCTCGCAACCAATGTACATGCCCTTGACCGGAATCGAACCTGGGACCCCTTAGTCTGCAGACTGACACTCTACCACTGAGCCAAACCGGTTTTGGCTCAAGATTTTTTATATCGCATTTTATGTTGCATTATTTTCCCAGGTATTTGTGGGGAGGGTAAGGTCATATTTGGGGCTGTCGGATGCTGTCCGTCTTGGATTTCTTGGATGTGATATTGCCAAATCTGGGGGATTCAATGTTTGCTACCTTTGCAAATCTGGTGGGAGAACTGTTTGCGTATAAGTAAAATGAATTAACGTGGTGTTTAAAAACAACAACCCAAAACAAAACAACCCAGCTTCTTAGGAGCTTAGACAGGATCCAGTGCGGTATTTGGGGAACTAGTCATTTTTCTTTTTCTTTTTTTTTCTTTTTTTTTTTTTTAAATATATCTCATTGATTTTTTACAGAGAGGGAGAGGGATAGAGAGTTAGAAATATCCATGAGAGAGAAACATCGATCAGCTGCCTCTTGCACACCCCCTACTGAGGATGTGCCCGCAACCAAGGTACATGCCCTTGACTGGAATCGAACCTGGGACCTTTCATTCCGCAGGCCGACGCTCTATTCACTGAGCCAAACTGGTTTCAGCTGTAATTGGTCATTTTTTATTCTGTTGGATCTATGACTGTTAATTTTATGTCACAGGGACTTTGTTCCCAAGCCAGGGCTCTGTCTTTTTATGCCAGCCATTCCCCGCGCCACCTCTGCTCCGGGCACTGTCCTGGGCCCTTCCGCCTCACCTATCCCAGCTGTGGCTCATGTGCTGCCTGTTTCTTGTCACCTGACAGGATGACAGCTGGGCTTTTCAGCAAAAGGTCACAATACATGTGATGCGATGGCAGGTTAAAAGGCCGGCCTGTGAATGCCACCGCCGCTGTTTCCATCCCACTGCCGGGCACACCATGCATGTCTGGCGCTCGTGTGAAGGGAGCCACGTGATTCCAGACCAGCTCTCCTAGCCGCCAACCTGTTACCCACCTTATGTAGTGTATACTTTTGGGAGATCTAAGCAATAGAAGACCCCTAATTTCCTGGTAGTAATCCGGCTCTCGTACCTGGGTGCAGGTTTCCATCGTGTGGGAAGAACGGAGTAACAAGTCTCACGCAGAAAAAGGTCTTGAGGACAGCTTGCGGCGCACCCAGTGTGACCGTTACGGTAGGTGACGTGTGCCCGGAGCAGCCCCCAGCCTGCAGCCCGCCCAGCCCGCTCTGCTCGTCTTTTCCAGGAGCTGCCTTCCCCGCTGGCCTGCCCCTGCATGGCGCTTTGCTTGGGGCTTCTGCTCGTCCACTGGGGGTGGTTTTGCTTGTGGTAAGGCTGCCAGGTTGAGCAGGTTGTCTTACACCAGGACAAATGCCAAAAGTCTTTGGGACAGATTTTAATAATAATAATAGTAATAATGAAGAAGAAGATAAGATGGTGAGGGGGTAGGACCTGATGGTGAGCGAGGGGTATGTAGCTGGGATTTTGCCTCGTTTATACTTTTTTAGAATCTATACAACCTTCTCACCTTGGCGTTTCCTCCAGCTCTCTCTTTTCATCGACTCTCACCTGCCTGCAGCCTGATAGATTGCCCCGAAATCCTTCTGTGTGTCTGCTGTGCTAACCCGCATGCCCAGTATAGATCATGGCATAGAAGGATTTGCCCGCTTCCCAGCTGTGCTGCATAAGTCTGAGGAGGAGCTTTGCATGCCAGCGGGCTGGGACGGAGGTCCAGCTCCGAGCCCCTGGGCCTGGGTTTGGCTCTTGTCGAACCTGCAGGTCTTGCAGAGCCTTCAATCTGGTGTCTGCTGGTCCTCAGCTGGCCTCTGCAGGAGCCTGCTGGATGCACCGCCGCGGTCCCTCCTGCATGCCGGTAGTCGGTAGCTGTCCTGCTCGCTTGCTGGCCAGGCCTTCCGTGGCCCCCCGAGGCTGCGCGTTCTGTGTTTTATGCCCAGTTTGCTCATCCACAGATCAACCTTTTTTGTGTTGTCTTCCTCGGCCCGCCAGAAGCGAACTATGAAGGACCGCTCTTCAACTCCCCCCTTACATGTTCACGTGGATGAGAACACCCCTGTCCACGTCCACATAAAAAAACTCCCGAAACCAGCAGTGGCCGGCAGCCAGGTAGGAGCATGCCACGGGGCAAGGTGAAGGCTGCGGAGCAGGGCGGCGCTCTCCGCTCAGCCTCCCTGCTCCTAACTGCAAAGGTCGGACAGACGAACGCACTTGCTTCCCGAGGTTAGTGGCCTGGTGAGAAGGCAGGCAGGGCCGGCACCAGGAGCCAGAAGAGGCTCCTTGCAGAGTTGGAGATGGATGACGTCAATCAGTGACACCGCGGCCGACAGGGTGGAGAAGTGACCCTGGTTTGTCCTTTTCCACAGAAATCTCATAAGCGCGGAATGAAAGGGGACACCGTGAATGTGCGGCGGAGTGTCCGGGTGAAAACCAAGGTACCTTGGATGCCCCCCGGAAAGTCATCTGCCCGGCATGTGGGATGCAAGTGGGAGGTAGGCTCACTCTCGTTCAGGCTTCTCTCTCGGACCGGCCAGGGTCTGTCTAGCCGGCCTCGAGCGCGGGCGGGTCAGGGTCGCTGTAGCTGTTAGAGACCCCCAGTAGGTCCCGTTTATTGAGGGCCTTGCCGAACCCCAAAAGAACGTGAGTCTTCCTGAGTCCTCCCAGCAGTGAGATGCGGGGGCCCTGCTCTCCTCATGGACAGGGAGGAAGTGAGGGCCCGGACAGGCGAGGGCTCAGAGAAAGGAGCAGAGCTGGAGTGAGTGCTCCAGGGCGCTCATTCTAAGGGCTGTACACTTGACCTCTCATTTATATGTGAGGAGCCACATGTCTTTCCCCATGTTACTAAGTAACTCAATCTACATTTATATACACACACACCAGAATGTACATACCCAGAAAAGCATCGCCTTTGGAGGTGGTCACCGTTAAGACCACGCACAGATTCCACCGTGTCATCAAAGCCACGTTTGGAATAAACTGATGCATAATTGCCTTCAGACTTAGTTGTCAAGATACCAAGAGAACTGTTGTCTTTTTTTAGCCACACCTCAACATGCCTGTCCATCCGTCTCTGCAGTGGTTCAGGCTGCGTATGTTTATTGAGACTTAGGCCAGACTCTGCGGGGCTCTGGGCTACACCTGCAGCATACAGATGTGCCCATTCTAGTCAATTGCAGTGAAAAAACTCAAATGATAAGATAAGGCCTTTTGGTCATGTTTTAAACTGAGGTCTCATTATTGGGACAAATAAGACACTTTAGGCTACTTTACGATGATGGTATCTGATCTATTTTGGAAGGTTCAGTTTTCTAAAAGCTTACTACTATAATTGACAATAAATAAAAGTAATTGTTCTAAAGTTTCTAATCATACTTATGGTTTTGACCCTGATTTACCTGTTTGTCCCTAAGAGATTACGGGAGTGTGGGGGATTCTAGGGAATAAATGAAAAGTATTCTGACAGCTTTGAGAGGATCATGGAACCGATTCGACTGTTCTGGAGTCAGCTTGGCAGCATCTATTTAAACGTTGCTTCTAGTTTTACATTTAGGGATTTATCTGTATTTTAATATATTTTCATTGATTTCAGAGAAAAAGGGAGAGGGAGAGAGAGAGAGAAACATCAATAATGAGAAAGAATCATTGATTGGCTGCTTCCTGCATGCAGCAATAATGAGAAAGAATCATTGATTGGCTGCTTCCTGCATCCCCCTCCACTGGGGATGGAGCCCACAATCCTAGCATGTGCGCTTGACCAGAATTGAACCTTCTATCCACAGACTGACGCTCTATCCACTGAACCAAACCAGCTTGGCATAGGAATTTATCTTTAAAAAGTCACAGAAGAGCCCTAACCGGTTTGGCTCAGTGGATAGAGCATCAGCCTGCGGACTCAAGGGTCCCGGGTTTAATTCCGGTCAAGGGCATGTACCTTGGTTGCAGGCTCCTCCCGGCCTAGGTCCTGGTCGGGGCTCATGCTGGAGGCAGCCAATTGATGTGTTTTTCTCACATCGATGTTTCATGTCTTTCCCTCTCTCTTCCACTCTCCCTAAAAATCAATGGAAAAATTTTCTGAGGTAAGGATTAACAATTAAAAAATAATAATATAATAAGACATGCACTTTTCCATGCCAACCACATTAAAAAAAAAAAAAAAAATCCCTGACCAGCCGAAATCGGTTTGGCTCAGTGGTAGAGCATCGGTCTGCGGACTGAAAGGTCCCAGGTTCAGTTCCAGTCAAGGGCATGTACGTTGGTTGCGGACACATCCCTGGTAGGGGGTGTGCAAGAGGCAGCTGATTGATGTTTCTCTCTCATCGACGTTTCTAGCTCTCTATCTCTTTCCCTTCCTCTCTGTAAAAAATCAATAAAATATTATACATTAAAAAAAAAATCCCTGACCAGTTTGGCTCAATGGATAGAGCATCAGCCTAGGACTGAACGGTCCCAGGTTCGATTCTGGTCAAGGGCATGTACTTTGGTTGTGGGCACATCACTGGGGAGAGGGGTGCAGGAGGCAGCTGATCAATGTTTCTCTCTCATCTGATGTTTCTGGCTCTCTATCTATCTCCCTTTCTCTCTGTAAAAAGATCAATAAGATATATATTTTTAAAAAGTCACAAAAGAATACAGGGACTGTGTATTTGCTACAGCATTGTAACAGAAAAATCAGAAGCAACCTAAATGTCAATCAGGAGGATATTGCTTAAATTATGATACATCCATCCAATGGAATACCATGTAACCCTTACTGAGATTGAGGTAGTAGTTACACATGATAGTGTATCACAGAGCCACCTGGCATGGAGAGTTCGGCCCAATTCGTCCAGAAAGGGGAGTCTGTGCATCCCTGTGTGGATATGTTTGTGTGCACACACATTTTCTGGGAGGGTATTCAGAAGTGTCAAGCAGTGTTTACCCTTGGAGTACAGGAGGCTTTAATGGTTTATTTTTAATGGCATGCTTGAATTTCTTTATAAGCATACTGTATTCTAACATTTAAAATGCTTTGCAAAACAATGAAAAGACTTGGTAGTTTTCAGAGCCTACAACAAAGCTATGCCGCTATGGAAATTGGCATCCTTTTGACGTGAGTTGCTGGGAACTGTGGTCCCTCTGGAAAGCTCAGTGTCTGTTTCAGTCCTGAGCCACAGAGTCCAGAAATGGACGGGCCCAGAGGGGTGGCTGGTCACCGCTCAGCCAGTAGCTGTCTTTCCTGCTATGTGGTCAGCCCTTTTCCGCTTCCCAGGGCCTTTCGTGTGCCTGGGAGGCCCAGCTTGGCCTCGTCTGTTCTGGACGAGGTGGAGGCTTGTGGTGGAGCAGGACGTGGCCCCAGAAGCCGCAGTGTGCATGGAGGGAGTCCAGTTTTTTAAAAATCCTTTCTGTTACACAAGGTTAGCTTTGGGGAAAAGAAGGTCTGGCTTTTTTTCTCTATTATTCAATGAAGGGCTCTATTTCTATTATGGAAATACAGAAAAATAGGAAATTGCCTGTAATTCTTCTCTAATCTGGCTCTTATTAAGTTTTAACATATTAAGTTGTAACAGAGAAAAATCAGAAGCAACCTAAAGGTCAGCCAGGATGGTATTGCTTAAATTACGCCACATCCATACAATGGAATGCCATGTAACCATTGCCGAGACTCAGGTAGTAGTTATATTGCCATGCACAGATCAGCCAGCTTCCCCAGAATCTCCCCTCTGCCCTTTCCTGTCACTTTCTCCCCAGGGGTAATCACTGTCCCAAAACTAATATCTTAGTACTTTTACTGTATCCATGCAAGTGTGTGTTTTCTTTAATTGATTTTAGAGAGGAAGGGAGAGAGGGAGAAACATCGATGTGAAAAAGAAGTGTTGATTTGTTGCCTCCCATAAGCATCCCAACCGGGGATCGACCCCACCATCGAGGTATGTGCCCTTGACCTGAAATTGAACCTGAGATCCCTTGGTATGTGGGACGACGCTCCAACCAACCGATCTTCCCAGTCAGGGCTGCAGAGTTGTTTTTTCACTTTGATTGTGATGATGCTATCTGTGTATTTTCCTATTTCCTTTTAAATGTTAAAAATTATTTTTCTTATAAAAGCAACGCATAGTCATTGTTGATAAATGAGAAAATCCAAGTTACGGAAGAAACAGAAAAACACCTATGATCCCACCACCCTGAACTGACATATGGCACTGCAACTTCCTGATCTTGTCTTAGGAACAGACTCACTTTTAATTTTTGTAACAGTGGGGTTATATTTTAATTATTGTACAACATCCTTTTTTTTTTTTTTTTAAATGTTTATTTTAGAGAGAGAGAAGAAGGGGGCGGGGAGATATATATAAAAACATCAATGAGAGAGAAACATCCATCGGCTGTCCTCAGCACTCCCCCTCCTGGGGATGGAGTTCGAAACCCCGGCCTCTGTCCTGACCAGGATTCAAACCAGCGTCCTCTTTGTGGATAGGGCGATGCTTGGTCCCTTGAGCCACATCTGCCGGGCACAACATCCTTTTTAAAAAACATACTTTAACTGTGTTTCCATTGCACGTTATTATTATTTTTAGTGGCTTTTATTTTTTATTTTTATGTTTTTATTGATTTGAGAGAGAGAGAGAGGAAGGGAGAAAGAGAGAAGCATTGATTGGTTGCCTCTGGCATTTGGGGACCAAACCTGCAGCCTGGGTATGTGCCCTACCAGGAATCGAAACTGTGACCTTTGGTACATGGGGCAGTGCTCAACCAACTGAGCCACCCTGGCCAGGGCACATGATAATTTTTTAAGGCAGTAACCTATTATGTGTGTGTGTGTGTTTTTAAATATATATTTTATTGATTTTTCACAGAGAGGAAGAGAGAGGGATAGAGAGTTAGAAACATCGATGAAAGAGAAACATTGATCACCTGCCTCTTGCACACCCCCTACTGGGGATATGCCTACAACCAAGGTACATGCCCTTGACCGGAATCGAACCTGGGACCTTTCAGTCCGCAGGCCCGACGCTCTATCCACTGAGCCAAACCGGTTTCGGCTATTATGTGTATGTTTGTACCATTACGTATTTAAACAATACTATATTGTCACATATTTATCTGTATCCTTGCCTTGAATTTAAGTACTGATTTATTTTCTTGATAAATTCCTAGAAATAGAATTGCTGGAGCCAAAGGCACATTTTTTAAATTGTGCTCAATGAGTCCTACTTGTTTAACATAACAGTTACACTCTTATTGTATACTACCTTTTACTCCTGATAGCCAGCCTCTTTTCCTGGAAATTGGCACAGAAGGTCAGCCAACAGTGGCTTAAGAGGAGCAAAGAGCCCCAGCCGGTTTGGCTCAGTGGATAGACACCGGCCTGTGGACTGAGAGTCCCAGGTTCAATTCCGGTCAAAGGCACATGCCCAGGTTATGGGCTTGATCCCCAGTTGGGAGCATGTAGGAGGCAGCCAATCCATAATTCTCATCATTGATGTTTCTCTCTCTTCCATTCCCTTCCTCTCTGAAGTAAAAAAAATATATTTAAAGAAAAAAGAGGAGCAAAGAACTACATAAATAATGAGTAACAGCATCAGAATAAATTTGTAGAATGAATCAAGTTCAATTTACCAAAAACCCATGCAAATCCTGGACCCCCACATTATAATCTTTCTGAAGTCTTAATAGCAAAGCATTATATAGCTTTGCATAAACTCTTCTGAGGGGCATATGCATTTAATTTTTTTATGCTGATGTATTTAAATATTTTCCGAACATCATACCATATTAATTATTCAGTATGTATTTCTAATAAAAATTTTTCTATATAATCAAAATAACAATTATTACTCCTAAAAACTATTTCTTTCTTTTTTTTTAAAGTATATTTTTATTGATTTTTTACACAGAGGAAGAGAGAGAGAGAGTTAGAAATATCAATGAGAGAGAAACATAAATCATCTGCCTCTTGCACATCCCCTACTGGGGAAGTGCCCTCAACCAAGGTACATGCCCTTGACCGGAATTGAACCCGGGACCTTTCAGTCCGCAGGCCGATGCTCTATCCACTGAGCCAAACCAATTTTGGCTATTTCTTAACATCATATATAATATCTGGTGAATATTCAAACTCCCTCACTTGTCTCTAAAATGTCTTTTATGAAAGATTTTGTTACCTTTACAACTATCTACTATTAGGCATTCATATTTATTTTAAAAACTTCTGACACGTTTCACTTCCCTCTAGGTATATGAAAACATTTCTTGCCCCAGACTTTTGCCAACTTTAGAAATGACTGTTTTTGTCACTTTATGTTCTTTATTTAAAATGCTATCTCTGTGTTAGAGAATATTCAAAGACATTCAAACAAGGATAGGGGCATTCCATCAAGTAGGAATGGCATATGCTTGCCCCCGAGGCCCCTGCGCTGGCCCGGAGGCAGTTTTGGTTTTTCCTGCCTTCGGTGGACGGGGCGGGTATGGTGGAGCTGGTGGCTGTGGATTTGTCTCATGAGTTCCTGTGTCCTCCCTCCTGTCCATCAGAATCCACCTCACTGCCTGGAGATCACGCCACCATCTTCAGAAAAGCTGGTCTCAGTAATGAGGTTAAGTGACCTCTCTACAGAGGATGACGATTCGGGTCACTGTAAAATGAACCATTATGATAAGAAGATTGACAGTCTAATGAACGCAGTTGGTTGTCTCAAATCTGAGGTGAGGGATGTGGGAGGCTGGGGCAGCCAGAACCTGAGGTGGTGTTCCCGGTGGGCACCTCTCTGTGGGCCACCCACGCATCTCTGCCCAGAGCTTGGGATGCCCTGGAGGGTAGCCAGGCAGTCTGGGGTCCCTCTCCATTGAACACCCTGACCTCGCCTGGTGCTCTGAGTGGATGGCCTATGTTAACAGTCCGATGAACCTGTAGTGGTAGAGGCCCTATTTTGGAAATGGTTAGTCCTCAGTTGCTGGACTGTGTCTTTGGGTGGAACGTGGCAATGGGAACAGAAACAACCCGGAAGACCACAGTCCCCAATTAGGAAGCTGGCATTGCCGCGTGAAGCCCGGACCTTCACTGCTCATGTGCCTGTGCCTCTAATCCCCGTCCCGGGGCCCTGGGCCCTCCTGGAGAACCTGGGGCGGGCGGCCTGGCAGCAGCCCCTCCTTCCGCCGTAGCCCACGGCACAGGGCCTTTGGTCACACCTCTCCTCCAGTTGAAGCACAGTTTATAGCCTCGCTCTTTCCCCGCCCAGCAGGCCACTCGGTTTCCTTAGTAATGAGGAAACACGCAGGGTAGCATCTCCCCTGAGTCTTTGTGACAGTGACTGAGATTTCACCCGCTGCATCAAGCACCATGTAGCCCTCACTCGGAGGTGGGCCTCACATGTGGCAGGGAGGAGGGACCGGCCCTCAGCGGCCCACCTGCATGCCCATGGACAGGTCAAGATGCAGAAGGGTGAGCGTCAGATGGCTAAGAGGTTCCTGGAGGAGCGGAAGGAGGAGCTGGAGGAGGTGGCCCATGAGCTGGCCGAGACCGAGCATGAGAACACAGTGCTGAGGCATAACATCGAGCGCATCAAGGAGGAGAAGGACTTCACCATGTAAGGCGGCCCTGCCCTGGAGCCCTGCCCCCTTCGGGAGAGGAACCCCCGGAGCGGGGGCGGGTGAGGGGAGCCTCTCTGGGAAAAGGGACATTTTAGGGGAGTCCTGTAGATGGTTAGAGTTAGGCTGGGGGACATCTTGTGTGAGGGCCCCAAGATGGGAGGCTCCTGTGACTGAGAAGCAGAAATCAGGCCAGAGGGAGGAGGGTGGGTGGGCAGAGGCAAGGGGTGCCATGGAATTAGTTTGAGGAGTTTGCATGGAGGGCGATTGGGAGCCATGGAAGAATTTTCAGAGCAGGAAGTGGTGTGACCACATTTGGCTCCAGTGTGGAGAGAGGGTGGGAGGGCTCCAGAGCTGATCTGAAGATGGTTACAAGGCCAGGGCAGTGGCCAGGGGCTGGACAAGTAGGGCTGTAGGTGGCATCATGTGACCTGGGATGGACACCCTGCTTCGGTGCCCAGGTGTCTTTCTAGGCCACTTGGACTAGAGGGCTATCGGTCCCCCTCCCCCACCGTTCTTTGGGAGATGAGGCTCACAGGGCATTGTGAGGCGAGCCTCAGAGCTCCGGGCTGCTGGGGCCTGAGAGGCTCAGAGCCCTCCTTTCTGGCCCCAGGCTTCAGAAGAAACACCTCCAGCAGGAGAAGGAGTGCCTCATGTCCAAACTGGTGGAGGCAGAAATGGATGGGGCAGCCGCTGCCAAGCAAGTCATGGCCCTGAAGGATACCATCGGAAAGCTAAAGACGGTGAGTGGCAGGCAGAGCAACCTGGCCCTGCGGCTGGGCCCAGAGGAGGGGCAGCCGCAAGCTAGGGTGGGGGCTCTACGCAGTCATCAGGCTGGCTTTATGACATCTCCAGGCGGGGGAAGGGCACATTGAACTCCTCAGCTCCCATCCCCCACTTGGAGGGCCAGGGCCAGACCCTCAAGGATGACCTCTGGTGGCCAGGGCCTCTAAGGAGATTTCATCATGGGTTTCTTGGGAATCACTCCACCATCTGATTCCTGCAAGTACAGTATCAGCCGCCAGGTGGTGTCCTGTGCTTCCTCCTAGACGCTTGCCCTGACTGCACTCACCCACCCAGGTTTTCCCCACTGTGGCCGCCAGCAGGCTCAGATCCTGCCCATCCTTCCAGGTCTCGGACCTCCAGGAAGCTGTCCTCACCACCCTGGCCCCGTACACAGCCCAGCTATTTGCTGGGCTTCCCAGCACCCGCACCTCTTAAGTCCTGGTGTGGCCTGCCTCTGCCAGCTCCTCCCTTCTTTCCCTGTACCATGTAAGACTTCTTGCTGTCTTCCAGGAAAAACAAATGACCTGCACGGACATCAACACTCTGACGAGGCAGAAGGAACTTCTCCTGCAGAAGCTAAGCACATTTGAGGAGACCAACCGCACCCTCCGAGACCTACTGAAGGATCAGCACTCTAAAGAGGTGAGCTCCCGGCCCCAGCCCCAACCGGGGGCGCCTGACTCTGATCTGTCCCTCCAGCACCCTGTGCCCATCCTCTCTGAGCCTCAGTCTCATCGTCTGTGAACAAATAATACTGCTGGTGACTGGCCTGAGAGGGCTGTGGGAAGTTTTGACCAAATCCCTCACATTGCGTGTCCGCCCCTGGTAGACGTGGGCACCAGGCTGGGTTGCACAGGAAGGACCTGGGAGTCAGGAGGAGGGCAGGGGGAGTCGGGGAGGAGTTGAGCCTGTTTCAGAGCTCGTGCAGCAAAACGGGAGGGGACTAGACCTGAGCTTTGGGGAAGGAGAAAGACAGACTAACGGCTGGCGGACACACATTGTGTGCTATCACTTCATCTCTTAAAAGATGGTCAGTGGAATGTGTTTCATGTTATATAAAAGACTGACAGCTATAAACACCCATCTTCCTGTTTGGGTCAAACCAAGTGTTACCAAAGGTCTCAAAACCCCTGGCTGTTGAAATGACGAGCCTTTTCTTAGTTGACTGTCTTTTTGTCCCGATATTGTCAACTTCTCTTGTTTTTACTTTTTAAAATGAATGTGTAAAATGAGTAATAATGTGTTCAGCATTGCAAACAAAACCTCCTCCACATCATTAAGTCGCTCTGTGTCTCCTTTGGCAGTAACCCCTCATCTTCCTTCCTGAACCTTTTTTATCTCAAATCTGATAGTTTTCTCATTTAAGTATGTATCTTTAAGCAACAGCTAGTATTGTTGAGCATGTTTTCAAACTTTACATACATGGTATTATTCCACACATTCTGTTGAACTTGCTTTTCTCACTCAATATTTTTATGAGATTCATCCGTTTTTATCCTTGTGCTTACGGTCATTAATTTTCACTGCTATGTCCTATCTTATGACAATACCACCCTTTGTGTGTCCATTCTTCTGTTGATGGAGACCTACTTTCAGATCTTTGCTGTCACAGGTGGTGTTATTTGAACACTCAGTGTACACTATCCTCGTGGGCTTAAGAGTTTCTAAACTATATTTCTATGAATGGTACTAGTTATAGCGAAATTTTTTTCTTAAAAGCGTAATAACCTTTATTTCTAGCTCAGTGTTCCTGGTGATTTTTACCTCTCTGATTTGTGGCAGCTAAAAGGGTCTGCAGAAAGCCTTCTCTTGGTACATGCCCCGTGGTGTCTATTTTATTTTATTTATTTATTTATTTATTTATTTTAATATATTTTATTGATTTTGTACAGAGAGAGGAAGGGAGAGAGATAGTTAGAAACATCGATGAGAGAGAGTCATCGATCAGCTGCCTCTTGCACACCTCCCACTGGGGATATGCCTGCAACCAAGGCACATGCCCTTGACCGGAATCGAACCCGGGTCCCTTCAGTCCCCAAGCCGACGCTCTATCCAATGAGCCAAACCGGTTTCGGCCATTTTATTTTTTATTAAATTAATATCTGTACATATCTTACCAACCGCCCCCCCAGTCTCCCATTCATACCGTGGTATCTATTTTAGTTGCAAAACCTGGGAGCAACCTTATCACCAGAGATTATGGGGAGCGGTTAAAAATAAAGCAGTGGCACGTGAGAGACAGAGCCGGTGAGAGGTGGCGGGGAGGGGAAATGGAGGCTGACATCCAGGCTCTCCGTTTGGCGTGATGCGCATGTTCCGGAACTAGATGGTAGTGCGGATTGCCTCAGAATGTTCTGTGTGCCACAGAGTTTTAGACTTAATAGCTAACATGGCACAGGGTGTGTTATAAGTATTTTACCGCGTTAAAAAAATTAATGATGAATTGTACCAAAAACCATTGAATTGTACATTTTAAATTGGGTGACTTGTGTGGTATCTGAATTGATATCTTAATAAAACTATTTTAAAAAAGTTGTAGCACAAAAAAACAGTATAATAACAATTTGGTAAACTTACACACGAATCTCTTTCTACTCCCCAAAAGATAATATATCTCTACGTGTCCTTAAATAAATGCATAGAGGAAGGATGGGCAAGACACTATTAACAGTGAGGTGGATGAGCTTTATCTGCTCACTAATATTTCATAATGAGGAAGTAATTCGTTACCTTAATAACTAGAAGTGTAACTTTGGAAAAGAGAAAGAATCAATAGAAATAAGCCACCTGGGTTTATCGCTTAATGACTTGGCTTTCCCTTTGCCTTCCCTGGAAGGATTCCGGAAGGTTGATGGAGCAACAAGGAACACTTCTGAAACGGCTGGCGGAGGCAGACTCCGAGAAAGCGGTATGTCAAGTGCCCCTGCTGCTCTAGTGGTCGCCTCGACAGAGCTGCCGGTGCTGAATGGAGGCAGGAAAGCTGCAGCCCGCTCTGACCTTCCTCTGGGTCTTAGTTTCATGGTCTGTGTAATGGTCTGATGTCCCCTGTCCTACCTGTTCCCCTGGGCTTATCAGTAATAGTTGATGAGTTGAGAGTTTGAGCCACCAAGCGGGACACCAAACTGAGAGCTGGTGGTGAGGATGGAATGACAAATCATGACTGTCTGGCACCTGAATTTCCGTATTTGTGTTACGGATTAAAAGCCATCCAAAGGGATGGGCTCTGTCTGGATCATACCACGCCTTTCTTCCCTCTCAGGTGTGCATGTTACTTTGCTCTCCTAACCTCTAAGGGTCCCCACCAAACTTGCAACCAAGGGAGCAACGAGCAGCAGCAGCTCATCCTGCGCTTCCCACCTGAGCCTGTCTGTCTCCAAGACCCTTTTCTCTGAGCTAACACAGCCCCCCCCCCCCCAGCTCCCTTCTTTCACTGTGACTTTTACTTCAGTGTTTCCACGCTGCCAGGCATGGTCCATTCTTCCCTAGGGGCAAAAGCAGCGCCACGTAGTCTCTTATTTGGTGGCTTCTCTCCTAGACTTTCTGGGACTAATAGCACCGCCACCTTGGCGCCTTCTTTCCAAGAACATTCCACTGCCCAGGCTTCTGCTCCTTCTACCCTAAGCTCTGCCTTCTTTTGTTTCACTGGGGAGGTAGGGAGAAGCCATCAAAAGGTACAGACTTTTAAAAAAATAAACATGTCTTTATTGATTTTTAGAGTGAGAGGAAGGGAGAGGGAAAAGGGAGAAATAGAAACATGGATGACAAAAACATGGATCAGCTGCCTCCCGCATGCCCTCTAGGGATTGAGCCCGCAAACTGAGCATGTGCCCTGACCGGGAATTGAACCGTAACCTCCTGGTTCATAGGTAGACGCTCAACCCCTGAGCCACTGGGCTGGGCAGGTATAGACTTTTTGACTCAACAATTCAGGTCTAGGAACGCCTTCTGGGGCAGCATGTTCCAGAATTTACTCCATGGAACCCTAGGTTCCTCAAAATGTTAAATGGGTGATTTTTACTAGTTATAGTGAAATTGTTCTCTTAAAATTGAAATAACTTTTATTTACAAAACAAAAGTGGGGAGTGACTCAGAACCAGATTTATTTGAGAAACTGCCAAGTGGCCGGAACAAAAAGTGCAGCAGGTTTCTTAGCTCTGGGACCTTCTGGAGCCTTTGCTATATTAGTGCCCAGCATGCTTCCCAGGTATGGCCTTGGCCCTCAATGCCCACTGACGATCCCTGAGTTCAGCAGTGATGCTGAGGCCTAGACCTGCATTGCCAGCTGGATAAGCCTGGTCAAATAGTGATACATTAGTAACTTGGAACATGAAGCTGCTGTTTCAAAAGCTGTGTGTGAGATTCAATCACATTATGGCAAGCGTGGGAGTGTAATTTACTGAACAGAAGAAGCATGTGGCTTTTTTGTTGTGAATCCTCATCTGAAGATATTTTTCCCCCACTGGTTTTTAGAGAGAGTGGAAGGGAGAAAGGTAGGGTTCGGGAGGGAAACATTGATTGGGTACCTCCCGCATGCACCCCAATTGGGAACCAGGGGACTGAAAGGTCCCAGATTCTAGTCAAGGGCCCCAGTAGGGGGTGTGCAGGAGGCAGCTGGTCAATGTTTCTCTTTCCTCAATGTTTCTAACTCTATCTCTCTCCCTTCCTCTCTGTAAAATCAATAAAATATATTTTAAAAAACACACTAAAAAAAACAACCCAACCAACTGGGAGCCAGGAATCGAACCTCAGCCCAGGTATGTGCCCTTGACCAGGAATCGAACCTGGGATCTTTCAGTATGTGGGTGATGCTCTACCACTGAGCTCCACCAGCCAGGGCAAAGCATGTAACTTCTTTTTTGTTATTGTTTTTGTTTTGTTTTTTGGTACCGAAACCCGAGAGTATATAACTTTTTATTTTTTAATTGATTTCAGAGAGGAAGGGAGAAATAGAGATAGAAACATCAATGATGAGAGAGAATCATTTGTTGGCTGCCTCCTGCACGCCCCCTGCTGGGAGGGATCAAGCCCAAAACCTGGGCATATACCCTTGGCCGGAATCGAACCTGGGACCCTTTAGTCCAGCGATAGCCAACCTTACCAGTTGCCCAAGGGTCACGGTTGGCGACTGTTACTTTAGTCCGCAGGCCGATGCTTGATCCACTGAACCAAACCGGCTAGGGGGCATATAACTTCTTTAATGTCTGGTAACATGTTCTCTGGGTTAGGGAGAATGGGGTTCTTTAGCATTTTTGTGTGTTTTTCAGTGTTTTCCACAATGTTACTTTATTTTAAGTTAATAAATACATGTGTATCATCCTAAATGTTTATACAGATGTTAGGTGCTTCCCACCAGGGTCCCTATGACATGGGCCAATATATTTGGGCCCTTGGGCCCTGGTGGCCAGGCACACCGTGGAGGGTGTCTCCTCTCTGGGCTGGGCCGCCTCGCCCTTCCCAGGGAGCTCATGCCTGTGTGTTCTCTCCAGCGGCTGCTGTTATTGCTGCAAGACAAGGACAAGGAGGTGGAAGAGCTCCTCCAGGAAATACAATGTGAGAAGGTACCATCCCCCACGGCTGCCCCCTCTTCCTGGCCGTCGAGCTCGGTGGGTACGTTGCGCTCTAGAATTGGAGGCCTGGGTTCAAATTCTGGCTCTGTCTTTCTCCATCTGTCTAAAGGCTCAAGCAAAGACAGCATCCGAGCTCTCCAAGTCCATGGAGTCCATGCGTGGGCATTTGCAGGCACAGCTTCGGTGCAAAGAGGCAGAGAACAGTCGCTTGTGTATGCAGATCAAGGTACCTGCTAGCCCCAGCAGGGGTGGGAGGGAAGTGGGGGCAGGCGCCTGGCAGTTCAAGGGCGGTTGTCTGGCCACGCCCATCACACACAGGAAGGTTTTGCCCCAAAGGATTATGGGGCAGCTGCTACCAAAGCACTTGTGCTTCAGGGAGACTCTGGGACAGCGGCCAGAGCAGTGGACCTGGGGGTCTTGGGTTTCCTTCCCAGCAGTGACTGGGTTGATTTTCATGCCCCCAAGCCAATCACTTCATCCCTTGGGCCCTCGGTTCTCCTAACTACCCATGGGGAGGAAGGATGGTCTCAGATGCTGATGGCATCTGTGAATGGGGACTCGCTAAAGTCACAGCTCTGCTGAGTATCGGAGATCTCCGACTACTGTGCTGGGAGTTCAAGGGAAGGTTCCAGAAGAGTTCTGACATAAGACCTGATGGGTTCAGTGATCCAGGGAGGTGCTGTGGCGAGCTTAGGAAGGGCCCTCGTCTCTAGTCTGTGTTAGGGGAGCCCTAACACCCCCCACCCCCAGTTTGTAACTCATTCTTCCCCCCTCTCGCCCATTCTCCCTTTTCACCCATTCCCTTTTCTCCCTCTCTCCCTTTGACTCTCTCCCTCACTTCCTCACTTTCCTTTCGCTCTGCTCCCCGGATCTCCCCTCCCAGAACCTGGAACGCAGTGGAAACCAGCACAAAGCAGAAGTGGAGGCCATCATGGAGCAGTTGAAGGAATTGAAGCAAAAGGGAGATCGAGACAAAGAGTCTTTAAAGAAGGCCATCCGAGCCCAGAAGGAACGAGCTGAGAAGAGCGAGGAGTATGCTGAGCAGCTACACGTGCAACTTGCGGACAAGGTAGCAGGCCTCCCGGAGGAGGCAGCTGGAGGCAGAGGGGGTGGGCAGTGATAGCGGCTGACGAGGGGGTGTGGGGGATGGAGGAGGACACGCTGGAGAGGTGGCTGGTGGGTGAACGGAGGGGAAACGCACTGGCTTATTGGATGGACAGCTGGTGGAGAGGGAGTTAGAGGGGGATTAAGTGGTAAAGGGAGATAAAGGAAGGCTGGCTGGAGATGACTGGACAATTCAGCCTTCGATGTGGGTAGGAATGGTGATTAAGAAGGATTTGCAAACAGGGTGCCTGTGACTGTTGGAAATCTAAAAGCATCAGCTGGCTTCCCCTGTCACTCCCAGTGGGCTTGCAGGAGGGAGGATCGGGGCCGGCCAGGGTGACCCAGTCCCAGCTCCCGCGGCCTCAGCACTGACACCAGGCTGATGGGCCGTGCTGTCCCGTGTCCCCAGGATCTTTATGTTGCTGAAGCTTTATCCACTCTGGAGTCATGGAGGAGCCGCTACAACCAAGTTGTGAAAGACAAGGGGGACCTCGAGCTGGAAATTATTGTCCTGAATGAGTACGTCTGTGTTGGGAGAGGGCAGAGGGCACGCAGGCCGACTGAGGGAGGCGGGAGGAGCCTGGCGACCCGAGGCAGTCATGTCACTCACATGGCTGCCATCTGGTCTCCTCCGGTCAAGGGCTGCACTGGACTGAGATGTGGGCTTTCTAGTTGGACCCCAGATCCTGGCTCAAGCCCCGGTACCCACGGTCCTGTCCCCAGGCAGTCCTGGGGCCAAGCTTCTGCTGATCTGCACACCACAGGAAATGGGCACTGGCCCACTGGGCACCTCACTCCTGCTCTTGGGGGTGGGATGGCTGGCAATCCCTATGTCTCTACTGTTTTGCCAGCCGGTCAGTACGTCGGAGTTATGGGCTGTGTACTCTCCAGTGACTATTCAGTCATTCTCAGTGTCAGCTATGTTCACATGTTCATTCCGTTAAAAATATTGAGCAACTCCTGTATCCCAGGCTATGTACTGGCCTTTAGGGTCACAGCAGTAAAAACAACAAATGCTGCTCTGCTCTCATGGACGTTACAGACCTGTGTTCAAATGGAGGCGATGGGGCTGCCGAGACCTGGCCACAGGGGACTGACTTGGTCCCCAGGTCAGCAAAGTCTTCCCTGAGGAAGTGTCTTCTGATGTCTCCAACTCAGCTTAGCGAACAAATCTTGAGAACCTGCTATGTGCCAGCCCCTATGCCAAGCGCTGCCCTCAGAAAGGTCTCCATCTATTGAGATAGAAGGCTGTATAGTACAGGGAGAGAGGCCCTGAGGAAGGGAGTCTGAGCTAGGTTTTTAGGGTGAGTAGGAGTTTGCCAGGTAAAACAACATGATGTGTTTGCTTGGGCCTAGTCAGTGCTGACCGAACCATAATTGATCGATACTGAGAGCCGACAGCATAGAAAGGTTCTGTATCGGGTCTGTGGTCAGGATGGCCAAGGAGCATCTGTGAGCGCCAGTGCTGCTCTGAGGCTGGGATGCCTGCCCTGCTCAGTTACAGGGGAAGGCAAAGGGCTAGAGCACAGGCGGGCAGCTACCTGCCGAGTTGACTTCTTTCCCTGTTTCATATGCATTCATTGCCATGCCTGCTGAGTGAGGTGAGTGCTCAAATATGAACAAGCCAACAGGACACCTGTCCTTGCCTGGGAGACACTGAACATGTGTGATGTGTGCCTGAGGGATAGGCGTGCCTAGGGTGTGGTATCCCTGCCCACCCAGCCAGGAGTTCTGTCCTGACGTTAAGGCCTGATTGGCTGGGAGACGCAGGGGATGCTGTGGGAGCTGGGACGGGATCAAGTCTCTGGTCCTTGTCTTCAGGAAGCATCTTGACCTCGTGGGAAGCCAGGATGGAGAAGGCTTTTCAAGGGGTTGGTATGGGAGACAGATCTCAAAGGTTGTTATCAGAAGAGGGATCCAGGGGAATGCCACAAGCAGCAATGCCAGGGCAGGACATCAGCTGCTTCTCAGAGTGGATATTGGGGAGCAGGCAGGGGCCAAAAGGTGGGACATGGCCTGGGTAGGAACACTTGACCCCACTCCACACAAAGACCTGGGCTCCTCAGAAGCTGTGCCATTGATTCTTCCTGTCTGCTTTCACTCTGTGACCTTCCAGCCGAGTGACAGATCTCGTGAACCAGCAGCAAACCTTGGAGGAGAAGATGCGGGAAGACCGGGACAGCCTGGTGGAGAGACTACACCGACAGACTGCCGAGTATTCTGCATTTAAACTAGAGAATGAGAGGCTGAAGGTCTGTGAGAGAGCTGGGCTCATAGGGAACGGCAAAGGGACTGATGGCTGTGCGTGCCTGGTTGGCCTCCGGAGAGGACCATGGCGGTCTCACAGGGCCTGGAGGAGCAGAGGGATGAAGGAGCTCTGGAGCCAGAGCTCTATGAATGGCCACACTTTTAACCAGTGAAACTGGCTTTTCCACATAGAGGCAGGAAAACAAAATTAAGACGAGAAGACCCTATAGAGATTTAAATGAGCGAACGTATAAAACACAATTATATTCTTAACTGAGTTATTAATTTAGGTTGGGGTGACTTGAAATAAAAAAACAACTTTAGGCCCTAACCAGGTTAGTTCAGTGGATAGAGCATCAGCTTGCAGACTGAAGGGTACCTGTTTGATTCTGGTCAAGGGTACATGTCTGTGTTAGGGCTCGATCCTCAGTAGGGGGTGTGCAGGAGGCAGGTGATCAATGATTCTCATCATTGATGTTTATGTATCTCTCTCTCCCTCTCCTCTCTGAAATCAATTTTTAAAAAAAAGTAAAAGCAATGTCTGAGAGACTTAAATTAAGACCTACTACCCAGATGCAAGTCCAGCCTCTGCCTCTTACTAGCTCCAGGATCTGGCTGAGACATCTCATCCTTGGTTGCTGCAGTTCCTTAGTGGGAGGAAATGAGGTCCTTGTGAGAATGTGGCGATGCATGTAAAATGCCTAACATGACACTCAGTCAGTTTAGACCCAATCTAAATGGGCAGTCGGACATCCCTCTCATAATCCAGGACTGCTGGCTCCCAACTGCTCACCTGCCTGCCTTCCTGATTGCCCCTAACTGCTTCTGCCTGCCAGTCTGATCATCCCCTAACCACTCCACTGCCAGCCTGACTGATGCCTAACTGCTGCCCTACCAGCTTGTTTGCCCCTAACTGCCCTTCCCTGCAAGCCTGGTCACCCCTAACTGCCCTCCTCTGCAGGCTAGATTGTCCCCAACTGCCCTCCCTTGCAGGCCTGATCCCTCCCAACTGCCCTCCCCTGCTGGCCATCTTGTGGCATCCATCTTGTGTCCACATGGGGGCAGCCATCTTGTGTGTTGGAATGATGGTCAATTTGCATATTACTCTTTTATTAGATAGGATAGAGACCTGGTGTGGGGGCCAGCTGGTTTGCCCTGAAGGGTGTCTCGGATCAGGGTGGGGGTTCCCTTGGGGCATGGGCAGCCTGGGTGGTTGGCCTATGGTGGTTTGCAAACCAGCCACATCCCCCAGCAACCCAAGTGGAGGTCCTGGTATGTGGAATTTATTTATCTTCTATAATTGAAACTTTGTAGCCTTGAGTAGAGGCTTAGGCCAGCCAGTGTGTTTGGAAAGCTTGGCTTCCTCTATTGCCAGGGAAACCCAAGCCTCCTGCTAGCTCCATGGTCACAGCCATCTTGGTTGGGTTAATTTGCATACTTGCTCCTGATTGGCTGGTGAGCATGGTTTGTGGGTGTAGTGGAGTGATGGTTAATTTTGCATATTACTCTTTTATTAGATAGGATAGTAAAATAAAATCTACTCATACTAAAAATGTAACATTACAGAAGCGTGATATAAGAAGTAAAGGTCTCTGTTAACTGTGGATGTGTATTTTTCCACGGCCCCTCCCTCACATACTAACATACATATTCAAACACATGCACATCCATTCATGCATTATTTTGCAGCCTGCTTTCCTCATTCAACAATATCTCATGGATGTCTTTTTAGGTCTTTTTTTTAAAGCTTGATTTCTTCTAATGACTGCTTATTATTTTATTATATTGAGATACATGATTTGTTTTGTCCCATCTGCTAAGCTGAGTATTTGGGTTGCAGGACATTTATTGACCTCTAGAACTAGTTCATAACATAATTGTTTAAAAAGTACGTTGCAAAGCAATAAGTATGGTATAGTCCAGTGGTCGGCAAACTCATGTCAACAGAGCCAAATATCAACAGTACAACGATTGAAATTTCTTTTGAGAGCCAAATTTTTAAACTTAAACTTCTTCTAACGCCACTACTTCAAAATAGACTGGTATTTTGTGGAAGAGCCACACTCAAGGGGCCAAAGAGCTGCATGTAGCTTGTGAGCCACGGTTTGCCGACCACTGGTGTAGTCCCATTCTTGTTGAAAATTAAAACTGCTATCCAACTGTTAATATACAGTCATAAACCAAGGTATCCTGCATCCTGATTCATTTTTTTCTTGGTCTTATCTCCATTTTCTTTACTGTTTATTATTGCTTTTGTAATGAGAACAAGAAAACACGTGTCCCTTATTTGTCTATATTCACTTGAGTTGAACACCCTAAGACTCTTGCCCTGGTGCTCTCTGATGTGGGTTTGAATAGAAGGGGCTTCCCTCTGCTGGTCCCTGGGAGGAGGAGCTGGGGGTGAGATGATTACCTACTTGGACCTTGCTGGTTACTCACATGGCCATCTACCTCTTCCAGGCTAGCTTCGCTCCAATGGAGGACAAACTCAACCAAGCGCACCTCGAGGTCCAGCAGCTGAAGGCATCGGCTAAGAATTATGAGGGGATGATTGACAGCTATAAGAGTCAGGTAGGTCTCTCAAGTGCCCCTGCCCTGTACGGGCAGCACCTCTCAGCTGCTGGGGGTTGCCCAGGAGGCCTTTCCCGGGAGGCGTTTGGTGTGGGAGGTTTTTTCCATCAGAACTTGGCTCTGCCCAAGCCCGCCTGATGCTTTGTCGGTCCCTAGGTGCTGAAGACCAGATTAGAGGCCGATGAGGTAGCTGCCCAGCTGGAACGCTGCGACAAAGAGAACAAGATCCTTAAAGATGAGATGAACAAAGAGATTGAAGCGGTACTGCTCCCCTTCCTTGCTTTCTTCCTCACCCAGCTCTGTGTCCATCAGTCTGTCCCTCTTTGCCTTTGCTCTTCCCTGATGTGGACAACAAAGATGAACAAAGTTTCTTATGCTGGGCTGGCCTTCCCTACATTATCTCTCCTCACTTACGCTTCTTCAGCTCCTTCTCCCTCCTGGTTCTTTTCATTCTCCAACTTCCTTCAAATCCAGAGATATGTCATGTCTTAGGCATGCCTGTTTCGTTCTGCATGTTGTCTTTGTTTTGTGCCTCCTACCCTGTTCCCCAAAGCGCCTTATGCGTCTAGAGCTGGCTTGGCTGTCTAGAAGCAAACAATCATTTTAATAGTAACCTCAGAGATTGGCCGAGTCCAGGCTCGGCCACTGACTTGTTGCATAACCGTGGGCAGGTCACTGCCTTCTCTAGTCCTCAATCTCACTGTTAATTAATGCCAGGGAGCTGAGACCAGGAGTTCTTTCCCTTGCCCCTGCCTGTAGCTTTGTGGTTGCCTTTCTAGGGTCTTGGGAGTTAAACTAGGCTTTAGTCTTGGCTCTTGCTCAGTGACCATTGGCAAATGAGCCTTTCATCCTTAAGGTCCACATATGGGGAAAACACCTCCTTCACAGGTTGTATGAATTAAACGAGCAATTCACAGAGCCCTTAGCGCAGTGCCTGGGTGCTGGTGGTGGCATTTGATGGTGACTGGACACCCTCGGTGGCCTGCGGGAGGGCAGGCTGCACTCTTACCCTTCAGCAGCTGGGCCCTTCCCAACAGTGGGCTTTCCTCCCCCACCCCAGGCACGTAGGCAATTCCAGTCGCAGCTGGCGGACCTGCAGCAGCTGCCTGACATCCTCAAGATCACCGAGTCTAAGCTTGCAGAGTGCCAAGACCAGCTGCAGGGCTACGAGAGGAAGAACATCGACCTCTCAGCCATCATCTCAGACCTGCGCAGCCGGGTAAGGGACTGGCAGAAAGGGTCCCACGAACTGGCCCGAGCAGGGGCCCGCTTACCAAGATGAGCTGCACGCCCCCGTGGGAGGAACACTTCTTTTTTCTTGGCTGCCGTTTCTGAAAAGAGTGAGCTATCATCAGTGCTGTGAAATAAAAGTCTGGTGTGCCAAATGCCTCGTGTTCGCACCGAGTGATTCTAGTCATAGGAGCCGTCACTCCCTGGCGCTGCTGGGCCCTCCTGCTGTCACCCCTCGCCCAGCGCTGCCCCTGCCCTTCCCGCTCCGCTGTGTCCTCAGCCTTCGCCCACAGGCACCGAGCGCGGGTTCTTTTCCCACTTTCCTGCTTCAGCTGCTTCCCTACTCAGCAGAGCCATTGCCTGAGAGTCTGTCCTGAAAGAGGCTCCTTCCGCCCAGAAGCAGTCCCCTCTGGGTACCGGGAGCCATGCCTCCGATGCCTCTTCTTTGCGGTGTGACCTCGGGCAAGCCTTTCCCTCTCTGGACTTGCTTCGTTGTAGTAATAACAGCTACCAGCGCTAGAGCACATGCCCTGTGCTCCACCGTCCTCTCATTCTCCTGGGAGCTTTGTAAGGTTGATTGCCCATTTTACAGAAAGCAGCCCAGGGCAGAGAGGGAGAAGGAACTTCCTGAGGTCACAGAGCCGATCTTTAATCAACAGGGATTGGGACCCAGCCAGCTCGGTCTGGTTTCCAAGCCCGTGTCTCTCAATTACCTCGTTATCTTGGACCTGAGCATCTTGGGGTCTTGCAGCCCAGATACCTGAGGTCTGGAGAGCGTCCCTCTGGATAACTTCTCGCACTTGCCAGCCTGAAAGCACTGATCGCTTTCCTCTTGCCTTGCCCGCACTTGGCCCCAATGAAGGGGGGGAATGCAGTCAGCACATGGGCAAATAATGGGTACAACGCTCCCTGGTGTCGTGTGGGCCTGCCCTCTGCTTCCGCCTTCTGTCTGCTCCGGAGCCCGCTGAGCGGCGTCTCCCGATCAAGAAAGCGTCGATGTGGCTCTGCAGGATCAAACCTGGCTCTGGGTGTGGGCAAGCTGGGCCTAACCTGTCCCTGCTCTCCTCTCTCCTCCAGGTTGGGTGTTGAGACTTGGATGCCTGCTGAGGGCAGCATGCCCCTCCTGGGTGTGGATCACAGGTCGCAGGGAGAAGCAAGGGCCGCACCGGAAGTTCTCTCGTAAACCAGTCTGTTCCTGTCATTTTAGATCGAGCATCAGGGGGACAAGCTGGAGATGGCGAGAGAGAAACACCAGGCATCCCAGAAGGAAAATAAACAGCTGAGTCTGAAGGTGGATGAACTGGAGAGGTTAGAGGCACTCGGTTCCAACTCTGTCCTCTTCCTAGGACCTGAGACTTTCAGCCGCTTAGCTGCTTTGGGCTCAGTGTGCTGGAAGGTACTAGGCAGACCTCAGAGGAGAAGCTGCTGTGAGCGCAGTGGTAAGCATCGGGGGAGAGAGGAAGGTGCTCTCCTGCTGGGTGATGCTCCAGAGCAGTGTGGTCAACATCAGACCACCCGCAGGACCACAGCCAGGCAACTTGGTCCAAGCAAACCCGCAGGGCATTTCCTCCCCATTCTGCTCTGTGCTCCCCATCACCCTTCCCAGAAGCACTCTCACTCTTCTCTTATGGATGTAGGATGAATACTACACCTTTATTTTTAAAAATATATTTTATTGATTTTTCACAGAGAGGAAGGGAGAAAAAGAGGGACAGAGAGCTAGAAACATCGATGAGAAAGAAACATCGACAAGCTGCCTCCTGCACACCCCCTACCGGGGATGTGTCTGCAACCAAGGTACATGCCCTTGACCGGAATCAAACCTTTGACCCTTTAGTCTGCAGACCGACGCTCTATCCACTGAGCCAAACCAGTTTTGGCGAATACTACACCTTTAGTAATTGGAAGCCCTGGCCTTGGGTCCATTATTTAATCCTTTTGAACCTCTGATTTACTAATCTTTCTTTTTTAAATCTATTTTATTGATTTTTTTTTTTACAGAGAGGAAAGGAGAGGGATAGAGAGTTAGAAACATCAATGAGAGAGAAACATTGATCAGCTGCCTCCTGCACACCCCCTACTGGGGATGTGCCCGCAATCAGGGTACATACTCTTGACTGGAATCGAACCCGGGACCTTTCAGTCTACAGGCTGATGCTCTATCCACTGAGCTACACCAGTTAGGGCTGATTACTAATCTTGAGAAAGGGATCAAGGTAGGGAAAATAGTGTAGCACCTGGGGTTGTTGTGAGTCTTCAATGGGATAAGCTTCAAAGGGCTCAGCACATCACCTGGCACACAGTACACATAGGGTGTAGTTGGCATCATCCCAGTTTAAATGGGGGAACTGCGCTCCGGGAGAGGTTCAGTGACTTGCCCAAGGTCACTCAGTTGGTGCCTGGCAAAGCTGCCGCTTAGCCTCCTGCCTTCCTCCAGAGCGTCTAGCGTCTGGGAAATGAGGGCTTGAGCCTTTGTTTCGCAGCTGAAAGGCCTGCGGCCCTGGGAGGTAGAAACTTGAACCAGCTGGTCTCGGGCCCACCTCTCCTCTGCGTTGCCGGCCTCACATGCAGCCGGACTCGGCAGGACCCGCAGAGCTCCTTACAGGGAGCGTGTTCCGGAAGTGCAGTGGCGACTGCGCTTGCACATCGGGATGGTCACTGCTGCCCACGGCTGGTCACGCGAGTTCCTGAGTGGTCCGGCTGAAGTCCCTTTGCTGCAGGAGGCAGCAGGGAACAGGAGTGAGAGCATGAGTTGTGGTGCCGGGCCTCTCAGCTGTGCTGACACTGGGCCAGTGACTTCACATCTGAGGCTGAGTTTCTTCATCTGAAAGCGGGGGAGGGTAAGGGATCCCAGCTTCCCGAGCTGCCCGTTGCTGTATTTATTACCTGGAGATGTGCACACTTAGCACAACCGCGGTCACTCTGCTTCCTTCTGCTCCTCACCCCGTTCTCCAGCCAGCTGCTCCCGCTGCCATTCCTTGCCACCTGGCTGCTCAGCAGGTTCCTCTGGTTTATCCCCGTGGCTCCTTGGAGATTCCCTGAGTGCTAAGAGCCCTGGTCCGGGTGGGTGCAGCCCCCCGGCAGGGTGGAACAGGGCAGGAGTGGGCATGAACAGGGTCTGATTGAGTGCTTTCACCTAGGAAACTGGAGGCGACCAATGCCCAGAATATCGAGTTCCTACAGGTGATTGCCAAGAGGGAGGAGGCAATCCACCAGTCCCAGCTGCGGCTGGAGGAGAAAACACGGGAGTGTGGGTCCCTGGCGAGGCAGCTGGAGAGCGCCATTGAAGATGCTAGGAGGCAGGTGAGTGACAAGTCCATTACTCACCGACTCAGTGATCTTGGCCAAACCATATAATCTCTCTGAGTGTATTTTCCCATCTAAAAACATGGGCCTAGAGTAAGGTGACCAGACGTCCCGCTTTTGGCGGGAAAGTCCCAATTTTTAACAAGTTGTGCCTTGGCGTTCTACAAAAATCGGGACTTTTTTTTCCTTCTTTTAAAAAAATATATATTTTGATTTTTTACAGAGAGGAAGGGAGAGAGATAGAAAGTTAGAAACGTCAGTGAGTGAAACATAGACCAGCTGCCTCTTGCACACCCCCTACCGGGGATGAGCCCGCAACCAGTGTACATGCCCTTGACCAGAATCCAACCTGGGACCCTTCAGTTCGCAGGCCGACGCTCTACCACTGAGCCAAACCGGCTTCGGCAAAAATCCTGACTTTTTTAAAATGCTGCGGGACGCGGGACAAATTGTTAAAAATCGGGATGTCTGGTCACCTTAGCCTAGAGGAGTACCTGCCTCGTGAATTCACCAGAAGGATCCAATGAGCCATTATTGGGAAGGACTTGACACCTGACTCGGGATTACTCATTTAATTGTTGCCCGCCTGGGGCTCAGGCTTGTCACATCGTAGGTGGCGGTGACTCACCAGGTGCCGGGAAAGGGCAGTAAAGACGGTGCTGAGGTGCTCCCATGGTTAGCTCCCTCCCCGAGGCCCCCAAGAACTCCCGTGGTGATGTGCTGTGTGGCCCTGGAGACGGAGAGGGGAGAGGAGAGTGGCCAGGTGCTCCTGCCAGGTGCTCACCCAGGCGGGCGCCTCCGCCACCGTTCCTCTGGCAGGTGGAGCAGACCAAGGAGCACGCCGCCTCCAAGGAGCGGGCGGCCCAGAACAAAATCCTGGACCTCGAGACGCAGCTGAGCAGGACCAAGACGGAGCTGACGCAGCTGCGGCGGAGCCGAGACGATGTGAGTCGGGCTGGAGGCAGAGGGCAGAGGGCAGAGGGCAGAGGAGATGGGAGTGGATGGAACTTTTGGCCTCCTGGGACCCACAGGGCAAGGTGTTTTGCTGTTTTATGAAAAGGACATGGTTTAGTTTTTCTCTGATCACTTCCTCATCCCCGAAGGATACCCCAGGCAGATCCTTTTCATTTTATTTATTTGTTTTTTTTAAATAATTCTATTTTTTAATTTTAATTTTTTAACTTATTGACTTCAGAGAGGGAGAGAGAGGGAGAAAGAGATAGAAACATCAATGATGAGAGAGAATCATTGATCTGCTGCCTCCTGCACACCCCCTCCTGGGGATGGAGGCTGCAACCTGGGCATGTGCCCTTGGCCAGAATGGAACCTGAGACCCTTTAGTCCGCAGGCTGTTGCTCTATCCACTGAGCCAAACCAGCCAGGGCCCTTTTAATTTTTTTATTAAAGGCTTTAAGATATCATTTTACATACCATGATAATCACTTTTATACAAACTTAAACTGCATCATTCAGTGGTTTTCAGAATAGTCAGAGATGTACAAGTTTAGTATATTTTTATTTATTTTTAATATACTTTATTGATTTTTTTTTACAAAGGAAGGGAGAGAGAGAGAGAGAGCTAGAAACGTTGATGAGAGAGAAACATCGACCAGCTGCCTCATGCACACCCCCTACCGGGGATGTGCCCACAACCAATGTACATACCCCTGACAGGAATCGAACCTGGGACCTTTCAGTCCTCAGGTCGACGCTCTATCACTGAGCCAAACCGGTTTCGGCAACAAGTTTAGTATATTTTTAAAAAGAGACTCTCTACCCATTAGCAGTCACTCCCCAATCCTCCTCCCCATCAGCCCCTGGCCACCCTAAGAGAGCCCCTGGTTGCATTGGCCCTGTCTGTGCTGGGCACCTCACACACTGACCCGCGCGCTGTCCTCGCAGGCGGAGCGCCGCTACCAGAGCCGCCTGCAGGACCTCAAGGACCGCCTGGACCAGTCGGAGAGCACCAACCGCAGCATGCAGAACTACGTGCAGTTCCTCAAGTCGTCCTACGCCCACGTGTTCGGGGACAGTCCCTACACCACCTACCTGACCAGCTCTCCTATCCGCTCCAGGTCTCCTCCCGTCTGAGGCTCGCCTGTCCTGGGCCAGGAGCCCGGACCGATGCCAGGGGAACTGACACGTTGCCAAGCCATACCTGGAAAGCTCGTTGGTTTTCCTCTCTCCCCAGTGATGAAGTGTGTGTTTAGGGTCCTGTCCTTCGCCACTGGCTCCATGAAAGCCCCTGAAGCAGCAGGGCACGAAGCGGTGGAGCCACTTAGTTCTCTCCTCTCCGCCAGAATCGCCTGAAGAATGTTTTTAAATACCTTGCCAGGCCTTACATCCCCTACTATGAGGGATCCAGATTTTAACTCGCCATGACTTGGCTCGTTCCTTTCCTGAGAGAATGTCTGGGCTGGACTTTTCCCTCCAGTCCCCCACAGCCCTCTTTCTAGAAATATAATTTTTAAGGAAATTCTCGGACCCGAGCCAGCAGGAGCTGTAGAGGTCCTCGCCACCCCTCCCAGGCTGTGAGCACATTCACTTCCTCTTTTCCTTATTTCATGGTGCGGTGTTTCCCACGCCCCGGGGAAACCTCTCACATCAGTTTCCTTCAGGCCACTTGCCCCACGTACTTCGCAGGAGATCCTCAAGGGCTGGCCTTTTAAAAGCGTAATCCCAAGATAATTAATTTTTGTTTCTCTTTGCCAGGTTTGTACCTATGGAATGCATTTATCCTTGAAATATTTGTATTGCTTTACAAAAAGCTTTTATAATTGCTATTTAAGACTCCATGGGTGATTTCCTTTACCCACTCCGTCCCTCTTCTCAAAATGATTGAGTATAATGCTTAATGGAAGCCAGTAAATATTTTTATAGTCTTTGATACCTAGAACATTAGATTTCTCATTTCATTGTGGCCCGATAGTTTCTTCTGTGGGGCTTTTTGTGAAATGATGGAGGCATTGCTCACTGTTGGGGTGCAGATCACTAGCTGTTAGGAGGAAGAAAATGAGTTGTGTGTTTATATGACTGTTTTTAAAATGTTAATTGGTTTCTGAATGCTGTATTGCCTATTTTTGTTCTGTTCACATTTTTCCTGTATTTTAAAAGAAAGAACAATAGCCTTAGCCAGTTTGGTTCAGTGGTTAGAGTATTGGCCCTCAGACTGAAGGGTCTTGGGTTCGATTCCAGTCAAGGGCACATACGTTGGTTGCAGGCTCATCTCAGACCCCAGTCAGGATACGTGCAGGAGGCAAACAATTGATGTGTTTCTCTCACATCGATGTTTTTCTGTCTCTCCCCCTCCTTTCCTCTCTGAATAACAATGAAAAAAATATCCTTGGGTGAGGATTAATAATAACAACAAAGAAGTTTTTAAATTGATTTGAGAGAGAGAGAGAGACATCAAACATGCCTCCCACACCACCCTGGCCCGGGATCCGAACCCACAAGCTGGGTTCGTGTTCCCTGACTGGCAGTTGAAGCTGTCACCATTGGGTGTACAGAACGATGCTCCAACCGACTGAGCCACACCAGCCAGGGCAACCAATTCTTTGGAGAGAACAAATTTGGTACAGTGCTGAGCTTTAACCTGCTCATTCCAGCTGGTATTAAGCTTCTGGGTGACCCAGTCTTGTTCTCTCTCAGCCACTGTGACCCAAGTCCAGAACTCCAGAGAATTCCCCTCTGTCCCCCAAGGCAGTGGCCACACTCCGGCATCTGGATTTCATGACCAGAAAACTCCCTTCCGCCACCCCCAAATTTTGGTGACATCTGTCATTTCCAGCTGTTAATTGTGCCAAGGAAGTTCTGACAAAACAACTACTAGCCACTATTGCCACAAAGCCAAGCCTGTTTTCACACCATTAACAAATGGACTTGGGGAAGGGGTGGGGTCAATTGAGGAAAAAGACATATAAAACTTTAGACAATAAAAAAAAAAAATTAAAAAAATTTTGAACACAAAAAATAACAAATGGACTTGAACTTATATGGACAATATATGAAAGACCTTCCCTAGAAAGGACAGTTGGCAAACTTACACCAATGTACATGCCTACTTATATAATTCATTCTTATTTTCATCAAACTAATAACACCTCAGAGCAGGGCACTGGTATTTATAACGTTGGGGTGGGAAACACCTCTCCCAACAATGTTTGTTCAGGTTCGATTCCTGGACAATGCACTAAAAAATAATGTTGTTTTTCTTTGTCCAGAGTTTGCAAAAAAAATGAAAAATGTTTTATTTTACATTGCTTCCAACTCCGGAGAGAAGCCTTCTATCTCAAACTAATCCCATGAGACAGGAAAAAGGAGAGTCTAAAGTTAAAGGACTTGGCCTGGCCAGTGTTGTTCAGTGGTTGAGGGCCAATCCATGAGTCAGGAGGACACAGAACCCAGTCCGGGCACATACCCTCCACCCCTCTCCATCTCAGTAGGGGGCATGCAGGAGGCAGACTGATTCTCTCCCATTATTTGATGTTTGATGTTTCCATCTCTCCCTCTCCGAAATCAATAAAATCCTTTTTTTTTTTTTTTTAAATTAAAGGGTCCGAATTCAAGCTGGCTCTGGGTAATAAAGTGTATAACTTAGTGGGTTTTAGTGTATTCACAACGTTGTGCAATCATCACAACGATGGAATTTTACATTTTCATCACCCCCAAAAGAAAGTTTTACTCATTTCCTCTTCATTCCCTCTCCATTCCCCTATGGCCCCAGCCTCTGGCAACCTCATGTTTCTGAGGTTTTGTCATTCTGGACATTTCACATAAACGGGATTGTACAACGTGTAACTTTGTGACTGGCTTTCTTCACTTGGTATAATGTTTTCAAGGTTCCTCCCTGTTGTGTAGCACATATGTTAATGTACATCTTCGTTTAGACTTTCTGGCTATTCTGGGTAACGCTACTATGAACACTCAAGTTTTTGTATGACGCACATTTCATTTCTCTTGGCTGTATAGAATACCTAGGAGAATCACTGGGTCAAAGGGTAATTCTAACCTTTTTGAAGAAACGCCTGACTTCCATAGCAGCTGCTACCCTTTAGGCTCCCCCCAGCATCCTCCTCAATTCTACGTATTCCACTTGCTACCACAAGGGGGCTCCAGGCTGCTGCAGGCCGCTGGGCTGAAGTTCCCGCAGCGCCGGGCCCTCTGGTTACGCAGGCGCGCTGTAGGCCCGGCCCCGGAAGTGGGGCATACTGTCTTCCGGAGGCGGGGTTGCTGTGTACCACTGCGTGCACCGCCCCGGAAGCGGAAGCGGGAGCTCGTTATCGCGCGGCTGATTCGAGGGCTTGTTTTTCTATCACAGCGTCTTGGGAGAGCGGCCACAGCGCGGCCATGCCCTCCGAGAGGCGCTGCTGGGAGACCCTGCAGGCGTTGCGCAGTTCAGACAAAGGTCGCCTCTGCTACCACCGCGACTGGCTCCTGCGGGGCGAGGTGAGCCCGGGGTCCTGAGGCCGCTGGAGCCCTCTGGCCGCCGCGCCGGCACCCCTGCGTCCTTCCTAACAACCAGCGTCTGCTTCTTGACTCCTGTGTGTGCATCGCGCTGCCCCGGGGTTCCCGCTCTCCCCAGCCTGTGCTAGCCGTCGGGGGAACGCTCCTTCCGAGCTGCTCTTTCTGAAGGCTTCGGGACCACCCGCAGCCAGAGTAGTCGCCTCCGTCCATGTTGTCAAACAACCCTGGCCTCTCAGGGCCAGTGAATTTGCTGCCTGTGCTAGGCCCTCGCAGCTAGGAGGTGCAGATTTTGCAGTGGACGATTAATATGATGTATCGCTGCAAGTGAAGAATCACACACAAACTTGTCCATTTTTTGTATCTTTTAAACATATTTTTATTGCCCTAACCGGTTTGGGCCAGCGGACTGAAGGGTCCCAGGTTTGATTCCTTACGTACCTTACATTCTAGAGGCTGGGTCCCAGAATTGGTCTGTCTGGTGTAGAGTCAGGTTATACATCCTTAACAGGAAGACCGCAGGAACGATGCTGGTTCTCAGGGAGTCGCAGCAGGAAGCACACGGGGCTTCAGGCCATCTCAGTTGACCTGCCAGTTGAGCTGCTCATCTCCTTCTTCTCTCTAGGATGTTTTAGAAGGATGTGTATCCACCCCCCAGCTCTCTTCTTACGCTGGATGGGTGGTAGATCATGTCCTACCCCACACGCAAGAGAACCTGTCTCCCTCTGAGATGTCAGCCTCCTCGAGGTCCACTTCAGGCCTGGACCAACCTTCACTTGCCCCCAAGTCTCCCATCAGAAGCCTTGCCTTCTCGCCAGCATCCCCAGGAGCACCGGCAGCACCGGATGGAACCAAGGTATAAGGTGTTCGGTGAGCTGAGGACAGAAGACGGTGGTTGCAAAGTTGAATGTGTAACATCATCACATGACAACGCCTTTGCCCTGCATGGAGTAATGATTGTTTCTTGTAGCTGTTTGTAGGTACAATGTTGGCAACATCACTCAATGTGCTCCTTACGAAGACCTAGAGAGAGAGAGATTCCCCTCTATTCTTAGTCCTAAGAACAGTGACTAGCCGAAACCGGTTTGGCTCAGTGGATAGAGCATCAGCCTGCGGACTGAAAGGTCCCAGGTTCGATTCCAGTCAAGGGCATGTACATTGGTTGTGGGCACATCCCTAGTAGGGGGATGTGCAAGAGGCAGCTGATAGATGATTCTCTCATCGATGTTTCTAACTCTCTATTCCTCTCTTCCTCTTTATGAAAAATCAATTTAAAAAAAATCACAATAGTGACTAATGTCATGAGCATTTTCTTTTTTTAATATATTTTTATTGATCTCAGAGAAGAAGGGAGAGAGAGAGAGATAGAAACATCAATGATGAGAGAGAATCATTGATCAGCTGCCTCTTGCACACCCCCCACTGGGGGTATGCCCGCAACCAAGGTATATGCCCTTGACCGGAATCGAACCCGGGACCCTTCAGTCCCCAAGCCGATGCTCTATCCATTGAGCCAAACCGGTTTCGGCTGTCATGAGCATTTTCACGTGAACCTTGCATCTGTTTAATTGGTACCTTGCTTCTGTTTAACTGGTAGAGTGCCCCTTTTTGTGCTGGCTGCTAGGGGTACAGGATAAAATTTAACCTGCTCTTAGGATTTACATAGCTCAGCATTAGTTCTGTCTTGAGTTTTCGCCTATTTTTCGCTCTATTTTGTCACTGCCTTTGTTTGTTTCTCTTCACTTAGAAAGTTAATTATTATCCTAGCCAGTTTGCCTCAGTGGCTAGAACGTAGGCCTGCAGACTGACGGGTCCCAGGTTCCATTCCGGTCAAGGGCACATGCCCAGGTTGCAGGCTGGATCCCCAGTAGGAGCATGCAGAAGGCAACCCACAATAATTCTCTCTCATCACTGCTGTTTCTATTAGAAAACCCAGTGAATTGTTATTGGTGGTGGTCTTTTTTGTTTTGTTGTTGTTTTGGCGGCATATTTTCAGAGTAGTTTGCCTGTGTACAATTCTTTCTTATCTGAGGTTTTGCTTTCCATGGTTTCAGTTACTGTGGTCAACTACAGTCTGAAACTATTAAATGGAAAAGTCCAGAAATAACAGTTCCTAAGTTTTTAGATTGTGCATTCTGAGTAACGTGATGAAATGCTGTGCCTCCCGTCTGTCCTGCCTGGGGCAGGAATCGTCCCTTTGTCCAGCGTCTCCATGCTGTGTCTACTACCCGCCCATTAGTCACTGAATAGCCATCCGCTCTCCTGTTGCAGTATTGTAGTGCTTATGTTCAAGTAACTTTTTTTTAAAAAAATTTTATTTAAATATATTTTTTAAAGAGGAAGAGAGAGGGATAGAAAGTTAGATACATCGATGAGAGAGTAACATCAATCGGCTGCCTCTTGCACACCCCTTACTGGGGATGTGCCCGCAACCAACATGCCCTTGACCGGAATCGAACCTGGGACCTTTCAGTCCACAGGCAGATGCTCTATCCACTGAGCCAAACCGGTTTCTGCTGTTCAAGTATCTCCTGTAATTGTCATGTTCAAGTAACTTAACACTGTCCCCAAAGTGCAGGAGTACGGATGTTGGCAATCTGGATGTACCAGTGAGAAGCCATAAAGTGCCTCCTTTAAGCCAAAAGATGAACGTTCTCAGCTTACTAAGGAAAGGGGGAAATTGTATGCTGACATTGCTAGGATCCGTGGTCGCACTGAACCTTCCATCCATTAAATTGTGACGAAGGAAAATGAAACTTTTTTTAAAAATATATTTTTTATTGATTTTATACAGAGAGGAAGGGAGAGAGAGAGAGAGTTAGAAACATCGATGAGTGAGTCATCGATCAGCTGCCTCCTGCACACCCCCCACTGGGGATATGCCCGCAACCAAGGTACATGCCCTTGACCGGAATCGAACCCGGGACCCTTCAGTCCCCAAGCTGACGCTCTATCCATTGAGCCAAACCGGTCCCGGCAGGAAAACAAATTTGTGCTAGCTTTGCTGTTACATCTGAAACTGCACAAGTTAATGACCACAGTGCATAATGAGTGTTCAGGTAGTATGGAAAAGGCATATAATTTGCGGTGGATAACATGACCAGAAAGCTTGTTTGATTGATGCAGTGTGTTTTTATGTCAGAAGGTATTGAGCCTATATGAAGACAACAGATAGTAAGCAAGGGACCCCCTAAAATGAGCAACACCAGGCTATTTACTGCATGTGAGGGATGGTTATACAACTTTAGGAATAGGTTTGGACCGAATAAGGGTGACTGTAGGTACACAGGAGCATGATTTATTTATCTGTATATTATTCTTTTAAGTTTTATTTATTGATTTGAGAAGGACAGAAACATCGATTTGTTGTTCCACTTACGCATTCATTGGTTAATTCCTGTATGTTCTTTGACCGGGGATTGAACCTGTAACCTTGTTGTATTAGGATGATGCTCCAAGCAACTGAGCTACCCAGCCTGGGCTACCATTTGACCATTGTTGTTGTGGTTTTTTGGTGTGTGTGTGTGTGTGTGTGTGTGTGTTTAATTAGGCAAGGAAGGGAGCCACACTGTCAGGGCAGTGATGATCTGTTTTCTGTATATCTCTGCTTGACATTATTTCTGACTTGATCCAGTTCTCAAACACATGGGGCCTTGCCTTTCCATCTCTCGATTCTGCCTAATGCTTTTTGGTTTCACTTTTTTTTTTTTTTTTTTTAATATATTTTATTGATTTTGTACAGAGAGGAAGGGAGAGAGATAGAGAGTTAGAAACATCAATGAGAGAGAGTCATCGATCAGCTGCCTCCTGCACACCCCCTACTGGGGATATGCCCGCAAACAAGGTACATGCCCTTGACTGGAATCGAACCCGGGACCCTTCAGTCCCCAAGCCGACGCTCTATCCATTGAGCCAAACCGGTTTCGGCTGGTTTCACTTTTTAGGAAGACTAAATATGGCAAGATGGCTGTTGGTAGCACTAGACACACACCTTCTTAGGTTAGAGAGAGCCTCCTAGATGGCTTTATCAGAGAAATCCAAAGATGAGCTCTGGCCTCATTTGGCTCTGAGCCTCATTGCTGAAGTAGATCCTGGCTACAGGAGGCTCCAGGACTTTTTTAATTTTTTTTAATTTTAAATATATTTTATTAATTTTTTTACAGAGAGGAAGAGAGAGGGATAGTTAGAAACATCGATGAGAAAGAATCATCGATCAGCTGCCTCTCGCATATCCGCGTCTGCAACCAAGGTACATGCCCTTGACCGGACCCTTCAGTCCGCAGGCCGATGCTCTATCCACTGAGCCAACCTGGTATTGGCAGGCTCAAGGACTTTGCTAGCTGGTCCCATGCCCCTGAGGCCAGGAAGGTGAAGGAATTGAGGATGGGGTTGCTCCATCCAGACCATCATAGCACGAACAGAGACTGTCAGAAAAAAAGTGGGGAAATTTGCTGGGTAGATGAAAACACATAAGCAAACAGAAAAGAAGTTGTTGTTCCTGCCGAGACCGGTTTGGCTCAATGGATAGAGCGTCGGCTTGGGGACTGAAGGGTCCCGGGTTCGATTCCGGTCAAGGGCATGTACCTTGGTTGCGGGCGTATCCCCGGTGGGAGGTGTGCAAGAGGCAGCTGATGGATGACTCTCTCTCATCGATGTTTCTAACAATCTCTCTCCCTTCCTCTCTGTACAAAATCAATAAAAAATATATATATTATTAAAAAAAATAAAAGAAAAAGAAGTTGTTGTTCCTTGTGCTTTGTGTATTTCTTTTTCTCAACGAAAACAAATAGAACAAGGCCAGTATCAAGAAAGGCTCACTAGCCCTGACTGGTGTGGCTCAGTGGATAGAACATTGGCCTGTGGACTCAAGGGTCCCAGGTTCAATTCCAGTCAAAGGCATGTACCTTTGTTGCGGGCACATACCCAAAAGGGAGTGTGCAGGAAGCAGCTGATCGATGTTTCTCTCTCATCAGTGTTTCTAGTTCTCTAACCCTCTCCCTTCCTCTCTCTGAAAAATCAATAAAATATATTAAAAAAAAAAGTAAAGCTCGCTAGTTCTAACCTTTGTGTTTTGTTTTCATTGTTGTTTATAAGTAGGGATGTGGGTTTTGTCTTGAAGGGATGAAGGGATAACAGCAACTATACCATCTTAAAAGCTTAATTTTTCCATTTTGTGTCTGTGCAGGGCAAACATGAGTCCCAGCACACAGAACCGATGCTACTTCAGTCTTCCAGGGGCATCAAGGTGGAAGGCTGCATCCGGATGTACGAGCTGGTGCACAGGATGAGGGGAACAGTAAGTGACCCGGGAGGCGAGGCGGCCTGACCCCAGGGAGCGACGTCTAGGTGCAGTTCCTTAAGGTTTCTGCTGACCATCTGCCCTCCTGAGTGCTGGCAGCTGCTGATTCCTTTGTGAAGAAAGGGTAACGTAGCAGCCGAGAGTAAGCTCTCTCAAGTCAAATCCAGTTTCAAATCCCCTTCTGTGTTCCATGTGACTTCAGGAAAACTGCATAGGCTCTCCTGGATTCCATTTCCTCCTCCAGAATTTGACGATGACCTGGGTTATAAGATAAGGTTACACTGAGAAGATGGACCTTTAGGCAGAAGTGAACGTGGCGGGGAATCTAGGCAGCGATAAGGATTGAGATTGAAATGTACATAGCAAGTTTATGATATTGGATAAGGGTTTTGGTAGATTGCTGCTGAGTTTGCAGATCCACCCAAAGGGGAGAGGTGACAGAGAGGTTCTGAGAATTACGCAGATGGTGGCACGCCCTTGGGCATCGGATGGAGTTAAGGACCGAGGGCGGGTATTCCGTGTGGTAAGGGGGCATGGTGGTGGCGCAGCTTCGGCGAGCAGGTGCGCACCCCTTTCAGGAAGGGCTGCGGCTGTGGCAGGAGGAGCAGGAGCGGAAGGTGCGGGCCCTCTCTGAGATGGCGTCTGAGCAGCTGAAGCGCTTCGATGAGCGGAAGGAGCTGAAGCATCACAAGGAATTCCAGGACTTGAGGGAAATGATGGAGAAGAGGTGAGTGCCCTGAGTTAGGCCTGGCATTGTCGGCAGAGTCAGCTGGGACTGGCAGTTTTAGGAAGAGAGAAAGCAGTTTAGGAAGCATCCCTGACGGACTATCCCTGCCATTTCGCATGCAGCTCTAGAGAAGCCCTGGGGCAGCAAGAGAAGCTGAGAGCTGAGCATCGCCACAGAGCCAAGGTCAGAGCCGGGCCGGTCTGCGGGGGTTTCAGAGCCTGGGAGAGGCCGTGTGGGGTTCCGGTGTCTGGCTGTAACCTGCCCGAAGAGTCAGTTCTGGCAAACCGTCATGGAGGACCTGGCCCCTTTCTTGCCTCTGTGTGACTGACCCTGGCAGCCCTTTCCTGCCCTGGCAGCCCTTTCCTGCCCTGGGTCCGTCTGTGAAATAGGTAGCCCGAGTGGGGCTTAAGGATTAGAAAGAGGAGGCCAGGAGCCCCTCCGAGAGTAACTCGGCAGCCCTTCCTGCAGATTCTCAACCTGAAGCTGTGGGAGGCGGAGCAGCAGCGCCTGAAGCAGGAGGAGCAGGAGCGGCTCCGCAGGGAGGAGGGCCAGGCCCGGCTCCGGAGCCTCTACGCCCTGCAGGAGGAGCTGCTGCACCTCAGCCAGCAGCTGGACTCCGCGGGCCAGCACCGGGACCTGCAGGTGGCCCTGCTGGCCCTGCGGAGCCGAGGCAACCAGCTGTGCGGCCTCATCTCAGGGATCATCCGGACCACGTCGGAGGTGAGGGGCGCGGGGCTCTCCGTCTGCAGAGTGTGTGCGTGTGTGTGTGTGTGTGTGTGCGTGTGTGTGTGTGTGTGATCCCATCCCTGATTGTGCTCGTGGATAGAGTGTCTTATCTTACGGATAAAAAGTTTGTGTTTTCTGATCGCAAAATACTTTATCTCATTTACTCAGGAATGCATATTAAATGCCTGCTATACTTTATTGCTTTTTTCAGTTAATGTATTTTGAACACACAATTACTCTAATTACTAAAACATTTCCATGTTTTCAAGGCACTATTAAAACATGCAGTATTGCCTTAACACATAGCCATACCAAAATGCATTGTAACAAGCATGTCTGTACTTACCTGGCAGGGGAGATATCCTGATCATGAAGGTGGTTTTCCCAGGTCGAGGCTTATCCATTGTATTCCGGATGTGCTGACCCCTGCGATTCTTCCTCCTTCCCCAACTCCCCCAAAAGGAAAACAGCATTGGTGGACATTTAAGTTTCTATGTTTTCACTATTGTGCATAACACTATTGTGCATAACACCATCATTTTTTATTTATCTATTTATTTTTAAAAGATTTATTTTATTGATTTTTTTCAAGAGAGAAAGGGAGAGAGAGAGAGAGTTAGAAACATTGATCAGCTGCCTCCTGCACACCTCCCACTGGGGATGTGCCTGAAACCAAGGTACATACCCTTGACTGGAATTGAACCCAGGATCTTTCAGTCCGCAGGCCAACGCTCTATCCACTGAGTCAAACCAGTTAGGGCTATTTATTTATTTTTAAAAAATATATATATTTTTATTGATTTTAGTGGGGAAGGGAGAGGGAGAGAGAGAGAAACATCAATGATGAGAATCTCTGATAGGCTGCCTTCTGCATACCCCCTACTGAGGATCGAGCCTGCAACATGTGGCCTTTATTGGAATCAAACCTGGGACCCTTCAGTCAGCAGGCCAACACTCTATCCTCTGAGCCAAACCAGCTAGGGCCTGAGAGTTGTAATGTAAAACACTTTTAAATTAATTTAAACCTAAATAGCAACACATGGCAACACAAGATCTAGGAGCTTGCTCGGATTTGTGTTTGATTGTTTTGGGCACACGAGAACTTCATAGGGTTAGGATGTATGTACCTGTTTTTGCACCATGCCAAAGGCATGTTCTGTCTGATGGCTTTTCGGCTTGTGATACTCAGGTCGGCAGTGGCTTCAGATACTGTCAGCTTTATCTTCCACCGTGAAGATCCCTGTGTGCCTTTACCAGTGGCCCAGTGGCCATTGCTGACCATTGTTTCATTAGAGGCGGCAGGTTTTACATTTTTCTGAGTTTACCATTCTTTCTGGAATTCAACCACCAAGAAGAAATGCTCCCCATAAACTATTATTTTGAGGTGCAGCCTACAGAGGAAAGAAAGGATAAACATTGGAGTCTTTCCCCCATCAGTTTCCAGCATAATGAGTTGCTTTTCTAATATTCTCCTACAGCGACTTAACAGGGTTTTCCTTATTTATTTATTTATTTATTTTAAATAAATTTTTATTGTTCATATTATTACAAATGTTCCTTCTTCCCCCCATTGCTCTCCTCCACCAGCTTCCCACCCCACCCTCTGCCCTTTCCCCACCCCCCATTGTCCTCATCCATAGGTGCACAGTTTATGTTCAGTCTCTTCCCACATCCCCCTCTCCCCTTTCCCCCAAGAATCATCAGTTCACTCCCCTTCCATCTCTCTGATATTCAACAGTTAATATTGTTCATCAGATTTTTTTTTAATTTTCTTGGTTTTTAGGTTCACTTGTTGATAGTTACGTACTTATTGTTCATAATTTTTATCTTTATTTACTTTCTCTTCCAAAAGAATCCCCTTCAGCAATTCATATAATTCTGGTTTGGTGGTGATGAACTCCTTTAGCTTTTTTTTATTAGTGAAGCTCTTTATCTGACCTTCAATTCTGAGTGATAGCTTTGCTGGATAGATTATCTTTGGCTGTAGGTTCTTACTGTTCATCACCTTGAATATTTCTTGCCATTCCCTTCTGGCCTGCATGGTTTCTGTTGAGAAATCAGCTGTCAATCGTATAGGTGCTCCTTTATAGGTAACTACCTGCTTTGCTCTTGCTGCTTTTAATATTCTCTTTGTCTTTTGCTCTTAGAATTTTAATTATGATTTGTCTTGGTGTGGTCCTCTTTGGATTCCTTTTGTTTGGAGTTCTGTGCGCTTCCTGAACTTGTAAGTCTAATTCTTTCACCAGGTGGGGGAAGTTTTCTGTCACTATTTCTTTCAGTATGTTTTCGATATCTTGCTCTCTCTCATCTTCTGGGACCCCCATAATTCTGATGTTGGTTCACTTGAAATTGTCCCAGAGGTTTCTTACATTATCTTCAATTTTCTGGATTCTCTTGCCTTCTAGCTTCTGTGGAGGAGTGTCTTTTGGCTCTTTATGTTTCAAATCTTTGACTTGATTCTTGCGATCTTCCATTGTTTTTAGGACTCTGTATAATATTTTTTATTTCAGACAATGTATTCTTTATCTCTTGTTGATCCCTTATCATTTCTTGTTGACTCCTTATTAATTCTAGTTGATTTCTTTTCATATCCTCATAGGTCTTATCGATTTTTTTCTAAGAAATTCTTGAAAAACCTTATAAGCGTAGATTTGAACTCTATATCCAGCCGCTTTTTGTCCTTCATTTCTTTCGTTTGTGATCTATTTCGTCTTGGCATTTTCGCAGCTTCCCTGATGGGGCAGGGTTTCAGGGTGGAGCCTACAGCTTTGGCTTCCGTCATCCCTGCCCTATGCGGCTCCTGAGTCTTAGGGTCCTTCAGTACTCGTTGCAAGTGCCTCTGAGAAAAAGGTGCCCTCGATTTTCGCCTGCTACCAAACAGTCTAGGCTTTCCCCCAATGAGCCCGGTATTGGGGTTCAGTTCAGTTGGAAGTGGAGTTGGAGGTGGCGTTCAGAGCAGTCCGGAGCTTTTGTCTCTTTCCTGCCAGAGCAATCCTGCGGCACAGCCAACTGTCCCTTCTCTGCGCGCAATGTGCGTGCCTCCGGGACCTCCTTTCGCCGCTCCCCCAGGGTTCCGCCTTACAGCCCAGCTCCCTATGGATGAGCCTGGGTCCCCGGGGTCTGGCCTAGAACTGGGGTTCAGAGCAGTCGGAACTGGGGCTCAGCACAGTCGGAGCTTTTATCTCCTTCCCGCTAGGGAACGCCAGCCAGGCACTCAACCTCCCCCTCCTCTCTGGCTCCGTCCTCTCCGCGCGCCACGTGTCTCCATACCTTAGGCTTTTACAGCTCCTCCACTCTTCCTTCTGGTTTTCTCCTTGCTTCTCATTGTAGCATTTCCAGTCAGTCGACTTTTCTATAGTTCTGGGTAATGTCCATTTTATATTTTAGTAGTATTTTATTGAAATTGTTGTTTGCGGCTAGGTGTTTACCTGTGCAGCCATCTTGGATTCTCTGTTTTTTCTTTTTTTTCTTTTTTGTAATATATTTTATTGATTTTGTACAGAGAGAGAGATAGAGAGCTAGAAATATCGATGAGAGAGAGTCATCGATCAGCTGCCTCTTGCACACCCCCCACTGGGGATGTGCCCACAACCAAGGTACATGCCCTTGACTGGAATGGAACCCGGGACCTTTCAGTCCGCAAGCCGACGCTTTATCCACTGAGCCAAACCGGCCTCGGCTGGTTTTTCTTTTTTAAACTATCATTAGGAACTTAGGAATTTAGGGGCAAAAAGATAAATTACTCTGCTTCCATCCCACTAATGGAAGATGAGCAAAGGACAGGACAGTATATAAAAGCACAAATATACATAATTGTCTAACAGATTTGAAAATAAATTCAAAATCACCATTAATACATGGAATGCAGCCGAAACCGGTTTGGCTCAGTGGATAGAGCGTCGGCCTGTGGACTGGAGGGTCCCAGGTTCGATTCCCGTCAAGGGCATGTATAATACATTGGTTGCGGGCACATCCCTAGGGGGGCGTGTGCAGGAGGCAACTGATCGATGTTTCTCTCTCATCCATGTTTTTAACTCTATCCCTCTCTCTTTCTCTCTGTAAAAAAATCAGTAAAATATATTAAAAAAAGAAAAAAGAATGGGATGGTGAGGCTGGCCCAGGATCCAAACGGAGCCCCGGAGCCCAGGCGTCGCTCCAAAAAAAAAAAATAAATAAATAATAATAATAATAAAAAATAAATAAAAAATAAATTCATGGAATGCAAATGAAAACACCATATCATTTTTGTATAGACTATTGTCACAACTGTTTAAAAAGTTTTTCCGTCCGGTGTTGGTGAGTGGACGTTGATGCGAAATTGGCGTTACCTGTATGGGAACTGGGTAGCAGTAGGTGTGATGAGTGGCAAAACGTTAGTACAACAGCTGTAAATTCTAGCACCACGTTGGCTTGTGTAAGGTGTGACTCAGCCCCACAGGCTGCCTAGGGCGTAGCCACAAAGCCCTGCCGCTGTCGCCCTGCCAGAACGGCTTTCCCACGGCCGAGGACCAGGCTGTGGCTGAGAGGGCGCTGCAGGAGATGCGGGAGCTCCTGGCGGACGCCAGGGCGTGTGAGGACAAGAGGCGGCAGGAGGAAGAGGAGGCCCAGGTGAAGCGGCAGGAGTCACAGCTGCAGCAGCGGCCGGAGGTCCGCAAAGAGTGCCCCGCTCCCAGCCCGCGCCCAGCAGGGAAGCGGAATGAAGGTGAGCTTCGGGGTGGGCACGCTCCTTGTAGGTACCGGGGCATGCAAAGGAGCGAGAAGGTGTGTTGACTATTATCGGTTGATGTGGAGCCTGACTTCAGACTCCAGCACTTTCCATGAGGACTTGAAATTCTGTATCATTCTAATAGGTATATTGTTCCAAGTATTGCCGCTCGTGGGTATTTTAAATAAATACGCACAAAATACATGCTTGTTAAAACATAAGAGAATCAAGTGTAGTGTAATGGTTGAGAATGCTGGCTTTGGAGCCAGATCAGTGGGAATCTAGTTTACTGCTTCCTAGCACTGTGACCTTGGCAAATTGAGCAAAAACCTTTCCATGTCTGTTTCTTTATAAAATGAAGATAATAATAGTATCTGCTTCATGGATTAGACAGTAAAAGCAGGTAGTACCTGCATAAGGTGATTAGAACAGTATCTGGTTCATAAGTGTTCAGCAAATACCAGCTATTAGTATGAGAGCCTGTCTTTTATTCCTCAGACCTCCAGGTAAAGGTACAAGACAGTACAATGCAGTGGTACCAGCAGCTGCAGGAGGCCTCCCGTCAGTGTGTGCTGGCCTTCGAGGGACTGACCAGCAGCAAAGACAGTCAGGTAGGGAGGGGTGGGAGCGGGGAATTCCCTGGGCCGTGTGACCTAGCTAGCATGTCACGTTCCCTAATCCAGCTCTTCAGAAAGCGATCTGCCTTCTCTCGGTTCTCCCCTGGCAGGTCAAAAAGATCAAGATGGACCTCCAGAAGGCTGCCACCATCCCAGTGAGCCAGATCTCCACGATCGCAGGTTGGTCAGAGGAGTGAAGAACACGGCCCTTCGCCTGGTTTTGTTCCTCCTTAAGACTCCCCATCTACTGATCTGTAAGGCTCCCACGGACAGTGTGTTGACTCCATGTTGTCAGACCAGGCCTATGTAAGGCGTATGCCTCCTATTTTGCTCTCCTTTGTTTCCTCTTCAGCACATAGAAGGTAATAATTATGTGTTTGGGGGCTCATTTTAAAAAATAAGCTGTAGCTCAATGGATAGAGCGACGGCCCATGGACCAAAGGGTCCCGGGTTCAATTCTGGTGAACAGTAAGTACCTTGATTGCAGGCTCCTCCCTGGCCAGGCCCTGGTCAGGGCGTGTGCAGGAGGCGACCCATCCATGTGTTTCTCTCACATCGATCTTTCTCTCTCTGTCCTTCCCTTTCTTCCACTTCCCTAAAAAGCAACGGAAAAATATCCCTGAGTGAGACTTAACCAAAAATAAATAAAAAGTAGCTGTAGGTTAATAATGAATTGTTGAGAGTGGCTCTAACCTAAAATTGGAAGCCGCTGCGGAAAATACCGCTAAGGGGACCTAGGACGTGACTCAGATCCTTGGCTTTTGTCCTGCACCAGCTCTTCCAGACTCGAAGCCCGCCCTGCTAGCACCCTAGCCCTCCTTCCTGTTCTCTCTGGAGACTGAGATGAGAGTAGGAACCGGACAGAGTTTGTGTAGAAACAGGTTTGTGTTTCATAGGGAGCCCTCTGGCTGTGGGAGCCTCCAGACTACAGAGCTGCTGCCCGGTGGCGGGGGCGCATGTACAGCTGGGACTCCCGGGCCCTGGTTGCCTGGGTGCTTACAGAGCGTAGGAGAGTGGCCTTTCTGCCCTTGAGAGGCTATATGATGGGACTTACCTGCCATATCCCTGCCTGAAATTCTTTCTGGACCAGGGCAGGGTATAAATAAATAAATACGTATCACTTTCTGGAATTTAAAGTGCCTCGACCTTTGATAGCAAGCATCGGGGAGAGGTGGCTCAACAGCCATCCCGCACCTTCTCTCCCCCCTCTCCTTACCCCGCTGGCTTATTCGCAGTCTTGACTCCTGAGTCCACCGACCGCCTTGCCTCCTCTTTCATCAGGAAATCGAGACGACAGGTGTGAGAGCCTCGATGCCTGCCTTCACCTGTGCACAGCTGTACTTACCTCTCGGTCTCCTGTTTCAGAGGATGAGGTGTCCTGAGCCAGCTTCCCCGTCTGCCTCTGCCTTTATCCCCTCCCCTCCCGTCCCCTTCAAGGCTTTGCCGCAGCATTATGGCTTTCCCTCCTGTTTGATGCGAAGTTACTCCCTTTTTACGGGCTCCTTTTAAACATGCATGAGTCTCACACCCTAAAGTCCAGTCCCTTTGACTCTACACTTCTGAGGAGTTCCGTGTGGCACTGGGGACTTTCCCTTTAGGAGCCGCCATTCCTTTGGCTCCATCACCGGTTCCTTGGTCTCCTGCCCTCACCTCAGTACTCGGTGTTTCCAAGGGTTCTGCTCTCCCCTCACTTCTCCTCCTACATCCCTCCATGGCGTCCAGCATTACTGCCTGTGTGCGGAGGAATGACTCCCAAACCTGCCTCCTCCTCATCCAGCTCCTCGGAGCTCAGAGGCTCCAGGACCAGCTGCCTGGGGGGCATCTGTGCGTGGATGGCTCTCGGATACCTCAAGTGCAGCTTGTGGAGGTCTGAGCTTGTCATTTCCTGAGGCCTGGTTTTCGCCCCTTTGTGCTGAGTAATCAGCAGCACCGTGTCTGTTTGGTCGCCTTGGCTGGCACCTGGAAGGCAGCCCTGACTGCCGCCTCTAGTTCGTTCTCCATGTCTAATAAAGGCAACATTATTTAAGTGATTGGGAGCAAGGCGGGGTGTTTCTAAGCTGGTGACGCCATGCTAATTTAATCCTCACCGAGGATATTTTTCCGTTGATTTTTAGAGAGAGGAAAAGACAGAAACATCGATGTGAGAGAAAAAACATCAGTTGGTTGCCTCCTGCACGAGCCCCAACCAGGGCTCAGGTTGGGGAAGAGTCTGCAACCAAGGTACATGCCCTTAAATGGAATCAAACCCAGGACCCTTTGGTCATAGGCCGACGCTTTATCCACTGAGCCAAACCAGCTAGGGCATTGGTCGGTCAGTTTGAGAATTAGTTCATTCCCAAATAAGGGATTCCTATGCAATAGTATGCTTTGTGGACTTTTTGCATTCTCCCCAATGTGTGTTTGATTGTCATGCACTTTCTGCACCGTATTTTGTCCTTAGGCTCTACGTAGCTTCCTTCTGCAAAATAGATTGACTTAAGTCACTTTGTCTCTTTCATATCCAGGCTCCAAGCTGAAGGAGATCTTCGACAAGATCCACAACCTACTCTCTGGAAAACCTGTTCAATCTGGCGGGCGCTCCGTGTCCGTCACACTGAACCCGCAGGGCCTGGACTTCGTCCAGTACAAACTGGCGGAGAAGTTCGTGGTGAGAAGCCTTCTGGCAGAGGGACGGGAAGAGGGGCTGGTGCGCAGCGCTTAGTGTTCTCCATGGTAACGTCGTCCCCTCTCTGCTGGCAGAGACAAGGCGAGGAGGAGGTGGCCTCCCACCACGAAGCGGCCTTCCCCATCGCCGTGGTGGCGTCCGGCATCTGGGAGCTGCACCCGAGGGTGGGGGACCTCATTCTGGCCCACCTGCACAAGAACTGCCCGTACTCCGTGCCCTTCTACCCGGCCTTCCGGGAGGGCATGGCCTTGGAAGACTATCAGAGGTGAGCTGTTCTCCTGACCGGCCCGAGGGCGGTTCGCGAAGTAGAAATAGAATTTCTATTCCTCCTCCTCACAGCTTTTGTGTGTCTTGAATGTTACGTCAGGAAATGCAGTGTTCTCCATGCAAACTGGACAGCTTTGGAAACTTGTGGATTTAGGCGCCAATAATCAATACAGTTTAGTGGAAAGTACAATGGATCTGGAGTCCAGGAGTCTTGGAACTTTATCCCTTGTCTTTGAATAACTTTGCAAAGTGGGCAAATAATTTTACCTCTGTGGGTGTCATTTTCCTTGTAAGTATATGATTTGATGACCTGTGAATTCACCTCACAGGACTTATATGATGCACAGCTTTGATATGGATGTGAGTCTTTTACAAACGCAATAATGTGCAATAATGTATTAATAATATGTTGTTACTTTTAGCCATGAAACAAAATCTCTGCCTTGTCCCTCTCATTTTGACCTTGTCGCACTGAATTTTTCCTTCCCACTTAGAATGCTCGGCTACCAAGTGAAGGACTCCAAGGTGGAGCAGCAGGACAACTTTCTAAAGCGCATGTCCGGGATGATGCGTCTCTATGCCGCCATCATCCAGCTCCGGTGGCCGTATGGAACACGGCAAGAGGTAGGAGAAAAGGCTTACTGCTGAAACCGGTTTGGCTCAGTTATAGAGCGTCGGCCTGCGGACTGGAAGGTCCCAGGTTTGATTCCGGTCAAGGGCATGTACCATGGTTGCGGGCACATCCCCAGTAGGGGGTGTGCAAGAGGCAGCTGATGGATGATTCTCTCTCATCGATGTTTCTAACTCTCTATCCCTCTCTCTTCCTCTCTGTAAAAAATCAATAAAAATATATTTAAAAAAAAAAAAGAAAAGAAAAGAAAGAAAAAAGAAAAGGCTTACTGCTGAGAATGAGAGTCGGTCGACCCACAGACTGAAGGGTTTGGGTTTGATTCTGATCAAGGGCGCACATGCCTGGGTTGTGGGCTCGATCCCCAATAGGGGGCGTGCAAGAGGCAGCTGATCGATGATTCTCTCTCATCATTGATGTTTCTCTCTCTCTCTCTCCCTCTCTCTTCCTCTCTGAAATCAATAATATAAATATATAAACTAAAACAGTTTATTTGGCTTTGGTTGTTGCTGTCCTGCTGCATGTGCTTGGGTTAGAGATGTGGGCTCATGTCCACTTCAGAATGGCTGGATGGTAACAGGGACTGTAGCTCTGAACAAAGTGAGATCAAATCATGACCGAGCTTCTCTCCTCCCAGGTTCACCCTCACGGCTTAAACCATGGCTGGCGCTGGTTGGCACAGATACTCAACATGGAGCCCCTGTCAGACGTGACAGCCACCCTCCTCTTTGACTTCTTGGAGGTACACAATGCAGTTACCACAGTGGTTGAAACAGCCTTGGGCCTCTGTGTGACACGAGTGGGGAAGCAATATAGACGTGGGGGTGCCGGTGAACACATAGGGGCTAGTGTCAGGTTTTTCCTGAGTCCTACGACAAGCCTAGCTTTCTCCCCACGGTACTTGTCTTCTCTGTGGATGTCTTCTCCTTGTAAAGAATGGGGACTGTACATCCCAGCACAGTGAAAAGGGGAACAGGTTTAGGGATAGAAAGTGACTCCCAGGGCCAAGGGTAGGAGAGACTGTTGGATCTCATGAGGGTCTCGAACCAGGAACTGGGATGTCACCAGGTACCAAGAGTTTTCTCTCTGTGTCTTTCATAGGATTCTTCCTGCCAGTTGCCGCGTTCTTGCTCTCCAGGCCGACTTTCTCTAGTTCTCTGTACACAGTGAAGGCCTACATCCCTCAGTCTTGGTGTGGCCACCCAGCCTAGGGGGACTGGTATCCCGCCATTGCGATTTGTAATTCTCAGAACAGAAAATATACTTAAACAGCCTGAGTCAGGTGTCTCCTCATCCAGAAGGCTCTCTAGAGTCACAAGAGGCCACCCCTCTAACGTAAGAGGAAGGTTTGCGTTGAAAGGAGACGCAGCTTAAAGAAAGAAGGCACAAGCTGCCTGCCATGAATCCCAGGCCATTTGGCCTTGAGATGCCAGTGGTTTCTAATCGCCTTAAAGCTCCTGAAGTCACAGTTCGCGAACAGTGACCCTGAGTCGTTGAGAACACAGTGGGACTCTGTGTCCTCTGCTTACTAAGGTTGGGGGTGTGCCAGCCCTTTCAACAGACTTACGTGCAGTACAGTAAATCAGAGGAGACTAGTTAGTGGAGTTTGGTTCATGCTAATACCTGGCAGGCTGGTTAAATGGAGGTATTGCCGTCCAGAGAGAAATGCTTCAGAAGAAAATTGTATTTTTCCATTTATTCCCTTGGTTGCCAGCTCCGGGCCATTCTGTGGCTGAAATTCTGGACAGGAGTGAAAGAACAGACCGATTGTGGTTTCTGGATCTCTCTGAGGAGTTGAACTTTCATTCTCTGCCTGTCTTTCCCCCTAGGTGTGTGGGAATGCCCTCATGAAGCAGTATCAGGCCCAGTTCTGGAAGATGATGCTTCTCATCAAAGAGGACTACTTCCCCAGGTATTAGATTTGTTGAGCAGACACCAGGGATTCGGAAGGTAGACCTCAGGACATCAGACACCCTTGGGTGCTGTTACATGCTGGTTTGCCTTGGTTTTAAACACCTGCATTACGTGTGATATCCCCTACTCCAATCCTGCTCTTTGATATCTAAATAAACTCTTTATTTTAAATATCTTTTTAATGATTTCAGAGAGGAAGGTAATGGGAGAGAGAGAGAGAAACGTCAAGTGATGAGAAAGAATCATTGATTGGCTGCCTCCTGCCCGCCCCCCCAGTCAAGATCAAGCCTGCAACCTTGACATGTGCCCTGACTCAGAATCGAACTGTGACCTCCTGGTTCATAGGTTGATGCTTAACCACTAAGCCATGCCAGCCGGGCTGAACTCTATAATAAAGAGTCTCTTGTTGGCTAAATGAAAAATGAATAGGAAGATCTTGGATTCAGATACCTGACATTTTTTTAAATTCTATTCTTTTCCATACCCCCAGGTAATCTGGGAATGGTGATTACATGCAGTTTTGAATTAAACCAAGGAGTCAAACCCCCTCAATAATTGTCAGTTAAAAACACTGACCATTTAATTTGCTTGACCTGGTGTGGCGTTCAGCGTTAAGTTCCCTTCTCCTTCCTCTCGTCTCATTGGCGTTTCAAACGGGGAAAGGCCCTGACGGCCCATCCTACCGGTCACAGGCCTTGGAGGAGTGCTTTCTCTCCCTCCCCCCGTGTTCGGGAAGAAGGCTGGGACCCTTTGGAAGAGCAACGGCATCCTTAGTCTAGAACAGTGGTCGCCAACTGGTGGTCCATGAGGTCTGAAAGGTTGGCGACCGTGGGTCTGGAAGAGTCTTTGTGAGTCATTGGGCCATGCCCTTGCCTGGCTCCTTTCCAAGAAATAGGTGTCACTCACGTGTCGTCTTTCCGTTCCTGCAGGATTGAAGCCATTACCAGCTCGGGGCAGATGGGTTCCTTCATCCGCCTCAAGCAGTTCTTGGAGGTAAGACGCCCTAGACCCACACATCCCAGACGGGTGTTGGCCTCGACGAGCCTCTGCCTGTCAGGTGTTGGACTCCAGGCTCTCTGATTGCAGTCTCTTCCTCTGAATTTTTCCGAACCCTACTTATTTGTCCATAATTTCCCAGAACCTTAAAGACTGCCATTTCTCCTTCCTGCATGCCATTGCCCATCGGGAAGCTCCCTAAGAGAGGAATAAAACCTGTCTAACGAGTCCTGTCTCACCAGTTTATTTTGGCATGGTGGTCAAGGTTCCTCTCTTTAAAAAGAAAAGAAAAAAGAAAGAAAAATTTTTAAATTGATTTTAGAGAAAAGAGGAGAAGAAGAGAGAGATAGAAACATCAATGATGAGAGAGAATCATTGATTGGCTGCTTCCTGACTTGAGCTGTATCTGGGCATGTGTCCTGACCGGGAATCGAACCGTGAACTCCTGGTTCATAGGTCCACGCTCAAACCCTGAACCATGCCAGTCGGGCCCAGTCTCAGGTCTGGGGAGATGGTGAGTTTCTCCACAGGAACAGACTGAACTTTCAGCCAGATTCCTCATATTTCTCAGCAGTTATTTGTAAGCAGTTAGTGTTGACAGATAACAGGACTCTGGCAAGACTGCCGACACAGCCCACTGACTTCCGGTTCCCAGGAGCCCAGTTGGGAAACCAGTGGTATTGAAAGGTGGGCCAGGCAACAGGAGACAGAGAGGGCAGGCAGAACGATAGCATAGCATTTGTCTTCGGCTGCACTTCATGCAGAAACAAGTCTTAGATACAACCACACGCCATCGCCTTCTCCTTTTTTGAGCACTGTTCTGTGGGGCCTGAGCTTGCTATCCCTCAGAGTTTCTTCTAATTGTTAAGCGTTGGAAGCAGTGTTAACAGAAAGTTATTGTTTTCTTCCTCTTCCTCTGACCAGAAATGTCTGCAGCGCAAGGAGATTCCTGTCCCCAAGGGCTTTCTGACTTCCTCCTTCTGGCGTTCCTGAGGTCGCTCCTCACCCACCATCACCGTCTGTCGCAGAGCTGCCATAATAAAGCTGTATTTGAGAGAGCAATGGCAGACTTAGAAACCTACCGCTCTGTGCTTTTATACATTTATACCTTGTGACTAGGAAAGGTTTTCCTGGATCACAAAAATCTAGGTGGTCTGATGACTCCTCAAGGGATCCACACGACAGAATAAATGGCTTTGGCCTTCTCGCTTTGGCAAACGTTTTGAGGTGTTTAGCACTTGATGCCACTGTTTCGTTACCTTTCTGTCTCACTCTTTCAGAAAGGAGGTGATAACCTGAGCGTTTCACGCTGAGCTGAAGTGAGGCCCCCACTTCCGAGTGTCCCCTGGGAGTTGAGGCCTGAATCCTCCCATACGTATCTGAGCTGTGGCTGCTTTGCCTGTCTCAACTTGTGACGCAATTAGCAATTCAGAGGAAATGCCTGAGGTAGAGGTGGACTCTGTCCTAAATGGCATTGAGGGTCGCCTAGTATCTGGGGGTAGGCCTGCCACGTGTTGTGTTGCACCAAAAGCACTGTTTGCCCTCTTACTGGAATTCAGCGCCCGGATGACAAGAGATGCATGAACCAGGGCAGGTGCCGCCTCTGTGTGTGTGTGTCTCGGTTTGAAGAAGATGGGCTGAGAGGGAGCTGGCCACATTATGCATGAGCTGAGCATCCAGAATCAGTGACTTGGGGGTTAAACAGAGATGTTAGGAATTGAGAACTGCTTTATTGTTATTGTTTTACTTGTTCTGACTTATGAATGATGATAAATTTGCCTGACTAAACCCACCACAAAAATCCAAAGCTTGGCTTTTCAGATAAGAGTCGAGATTTGCGAATGGAAAGATCACTGCCTTTTATAAAAGCTGCGGAGGCAGAGGCCCGGTCTTTTCCTCCTTAACTGTCGTGTGCGGGGAGTGGGGTGTTTGCGGAGACTCCCTGGTTCTGTTGTAGTGACTGTTGACTTTGGTGCCAAAACATAAGTAATAAAGCTTGAGTTTTAAAAATCCATTGCTGGTATCTAGTTGGTTCAATATGATCAACTTCTGTGCCTTGAGCTGTTCAATCACTGGGGCATGGTAGCGCCAAGTCTGGGTATAGAGAAGCACACATTTTTTCCTTTTTTGCCTTATTGATCTTTACCTTGGGAAAAGTAGCCCTTTTTTAAAAAAATTATACAGCAGCAACTGATTCTGTTTTATCTAGCAGAAATGGAAAAATTACTAAAGATTTGCAATGTGGACACAATGGAATGAATGATGGGCTCAATTCACGTAAGGTTTTGTGGCTGTGGGTAGGCATCTCACCCTCTTTGAGCCCCACGATCCCCACCTGCAAAACTCAATTGGCCTTGTCAGCACATCAGTAGGTTTCAAATTGTGTTCGTAGCAGAGTCTCAGAGGCGCTCCCAGCCTGTGTGTCATGGCCGCTGACCTCAGCCGGCCTGCAGCCCGCAGGGCCAGGTGCCGTTCGCACTTGCTCTCTTTTCCTGTGCGGTACAGTCAGCAGCATCTTCTAAGCATCTTGGCAGGGGACAGGTTGGGAAGCATGGATGCGGGATGGAGCTCGGCCCTGTAGCTAGTCAGCACATGGAGGCTTTTATGCAAAGTTTCTTTTAAGATATCACTGCCATCTGCTGGGAAATTGCCCTATTCGTAACTGAAAATCTATGACACTTGCAGGAGAATGGTGCAGCTCACATTTTGCACCTTTTTTAAAAATATATATATTTTATTGATTTTTCACATTGGGGAAGAGAGGGACAGAGAACTAGAAACATTGATGAATCACCGATCAGCTGCCTCCTGCACACCTGCTACTGATGATGTGCCTGTAACCAAGGTATATGCCCTTGACTGGAATCGAACCCAGGACCCGCCAGTCTGCAGGCTGATGCTCTATCTATTGAGCCAAACCAGTTTTGGCTCATTTTGTACCCTTAGTGGGGCCCTAATGGAGCTCCAGTTCCTCTGCCACAGCTTTTTTTTTTTTTTTTTTAATATTTTATTGATTTTTCACAGAGAGGAAGAGAGAGGGATAGAGAGTTAGAAACATCGATGAGAGAGAAACATCAACCAGCTGCCTCCTGCATGCCCCCCACCGGGGATGTGCCCGCAACCAATGTACATGCCCTGACCGGAATCGAACCTCGGACCCTCCAATCCGCAGGCCGACGCTCTATCCACTGAGCCAAACCGGTTTCAGCAGCCTTTTTGCTCTCTGTGCTAGATGTGTTGGGGTTCTCTGTCAGGCTGTGTGTGGGAAAGTTCCTCCACCAAAAATTTAGCGTGAGAAGGCCGGGGACAGCCTGATCCCCAAGGTCTCTGCTCCTTTGAACCACTCCATGGAGAGCACTTCTGATGCTGGAGTGTTCTGCCTCTAGCCCTGTTTAACAACAGCTTGCTCATGTCATTCAATGCTTGATATTCCTAACGGGTTTTTGATGGGAAACCAAGAAGAGGCATTTGGGAGGCCAGGTTTTTGATACTCCCTGATGGTGTCACCTTCAGGGATAGTGACTGCCAATAGATGCAACTCCTGATGGGCAGTAGCATCAGATTCCTTAGAGTAGAACACTGGACGACTGCATTCTGTTGTTAAATTCAAGTACTCACTTGCCTGCTTGCTTCCTTGCAGGCTTGACCTCATTTCTCAGGCAGCATGCCCATATTGTTGGTATGGCATTGTCCTACATCATTCTATTTTATTTTATTTCTCTCCCTCCCTCTCCCCTGTCCTACATCGTGTTAAAGCAAGTGTGATGATGAACTGAAAATTCAAAATCCTACACATCCCTTGAATAGAGGAATGGAGTTCTGGGGATGTTCACCCAGGCACTGAGAGCTTCCCCCGACTTCTCAAGCTTCCTCTGACGATAGCAGTGACATCATGAAGTTTGGGTGTCTTCTCTCTCAGCTGGGACACCCCAAAGAGCCCCCGAGCTTCACACAGGTGCCTTATCGGGCCTGCAAATTCATCCCCTGTGGTCTGTTTCACCTAATGAGTTTCTGATCTAATTTCCTGTGGATCTGCAGGAAACAAATGAGAACTGCAGTCTTCAGGCCGGGAGATGAATTTACAAAAACGCCTTTTAAAGGAATTGATCCTCTAGGTTACAGACAGGCTTCCTTTCCAAACAAATAATTACTTTATACAGATGACGTATCCAAGAAGCTTATCTTTCTTAGCGCCTTCAGGACAATTATACTAACTGGACTATGCGATCCTGCGCCAGAAAAAATGCCTTCTTGTGTGTGTGTGTGTCCTATAAAGGACATTGGGACAATGGCAAAACTTGCAAAAGGTCTATGTATGTTAGGTACTGATATTACGTCAACATTAATTTCCTGACTTCTATGATTGTACTCTGCTTATAAAAATGAATGTTTTTGTTCTTCAGAAATAAACATGAAATACTTGAGGTAACTGGCATGATATCTGCAACTTATTCTCAAATCATTTGCGGCAGAAGGTGAATGAGTGCCTAGGTGTGCGTGTGTGTGTGTGTGTGTGTGTGTGTGTATACACTTAAGTATATAATGCATAGAATAATAAAGGACATGTGGTCAAATGTTAACAAATTGGGAAATCTGCGTGTAGGGTGTGAGATTTCATGTTATTCTGTAACTTTTCTGTAAATGTGAAATTATTTCAGAGTTTATAGAGAATCTTCCCCCTCCCCGCCAAAACAAACAAAGCCAGGCTTCCAGTCAATGAGGAGGCAAAGTTCGGCTCTAGAATCCACAGTGAAGGTTTCCTCAAAGTTATCATCACCCCGTGAGCGTGAGCGTTGACAGCAAACAGGTTTTTCAAGGTGCTTCCTACTGGTAGTGGAGCAGTGGCTTGCAGAATGGAATGTTCATTCAGTGGAGACTGATTTATGGGCTTTAGGGCTGGATGGTTTGAGCTAAAAGTGCTGGGAGCTCAGAAGGCAGATCCGTTTCGCTTAGGGCAGCTTTCCCAGAGAGTTTTTCTGCAGGATCCTAAAAAAAAAGTTCCGTGGTCAAAGAAGATTGGGAACTGTGTTCTGTGTTCAAGGTTAACGAGGTGAAGTAATAGATGAAATAAGAGCCGAAACCGGTTTGGCTCAGCGGTAGAGCATCGGTCTGCGGACTGAAGGGTCCCAGGTTCGATTCCGGTCAAGAGCATGTACATTGGTTGCAGGCACATCCCCAGTAGAGGTGTGCAAGAGGCAGCTGGTCAATGTTTCTCTCTCAGATGTTTCTAGCTCTCTATCCCTCACCCTTCCTCTCTGTAAAAAATAAATAAATAAATAAATAAATAAATAAATAAATAAATAAATAAAAAATAGATGAAGTAAGAAGTCCTAACCGGTTTGGTTCAGTGGATAGAGCATCAGCCTACGAACTAAAGGGTCCCAGGTTCGATTCCATGCAAGGGCATGTACCTCTGTTGAGGGCACATTTCCAGTAGGGGTTGTAACACGAGGCAGCTGATCGATGTTTCTGTCTCATCGATGTTTCTAACTATGCCTCTCCCTTCCTCTCTGAAAAAAATCAATAAAATTGTATTAAAAAATAGATGAAGTAAGAAGGGCAGTGTTGATAATTGTTGAAGGTGGTGATGGGCAAATGGAGGTTTGTTGTACTATTGTTACAAATCTTCCATAATAAAATGTTTTCCTTCTAAATCAAAAGAAAAAGTACTTTTTTCTTGCAAGATTTTTTGGTGCCATAACTGTTGCTTTGAATTGCTAACCTCAAGAGTTGGCAGCTATTGAACATGAAACTACTATCTATTCCCATAGCTTCTCTTGGGCCCAATATTTCTGGGAATATTTTGAACTGCTTTACTTGGAGGTTAATGGTGGATGAGAAAGCTTCTTGAAAAGAGTATTTGATCCAGATACTTAAAAACATTTTAAAAATTTAAAAGAGAAAAAAAATCCAAAAATCCCTTTATTCTAGGTATCCTCTATGAACATCTCTGTGCACATACACAAATACACACATATGAATACAGCTTTTCA